CCTTTTAATACTTTCCTCAAGTGTGAGCTGAACTTTCCTGGTTTACAGTCTGGGTTGGTTTTGTTGGCATAGAAATCTGAGTTTCCTGGAGTTTAATGGCTCTGTTTTCTCACTAATTAATAAACAACTGTTGCCATACCTCTTCAGCTCTGGCCTCTCCCACTCTTGGATCTGTGTTGTTGGTTTTTAACGCACTTGAGTAACCTCATATATTTTATTGAAACTAAAAGTTATATAGTGGGTAATAGGCACTTTGAATACTCCAATGCAGTCATAATAAATATGCTGATCCTTGTTCTAAAAAGGACATATCCTTGTTTCCAACTTCTCCCAGCTCAGAAGAAAAAGTACAGTAAAACTCAAACAGGATGCATCAAAGGGATACATTTTGGTACATGAATATAGCTGGTTATATTTAACTTATATAAAAGTTATCCAGAGATAATTTGTGCATGACACACAGGAGAGAAGGTAAAAGCACAGTAAAATTATGGTTTATTTATTTTCAGATAATCATCCCAGAAATCTTGGGAAAGAGTTTGGAGTTTGTCAGGTTTTTTTTTCTTCAGAGTGCTTTTTGCAGATGAAGTAAATCTACAAGTTTACCTCACCACTGGAAGTTAACAATTATGTATTTATGGGAAGAGAGCGATTGTGAAGTGACTTGTAACTTGTTGGCTCTGGAGAGGTGGCTTAGCTGTTCTGTTTGGCTACTTCCAGCTCGACTGGGCTATCTCCATATGGACTCTGTGTGTCAGGGGCCTGCTTGGGATGGGCATTGGGCTCCAGAGCCCTCTGGTACCCACCAGCTGGGGCATGGAGCACATTAAGCCATGCTGGCACCTCCCTGGCAAGGAGAAATCATCGCTTCCCAGAGCCACTCTGTTCTGTGTGTGAGGAGAGCCCTGCAGCAGCATCCTTCTGCCCTCCACATCCAGCTGTGCTGCAGCTGTGGAGCAGCAGCTGGCTCTGCACCAGGAGTGCTCAGAATGTGAAAGGGGTCTGGGGGGCCGGACTGAGATTTTCTGTCCTTTCCTGCTGAGCAGCCATTCTGCTCTAACAGGGAGCACAATCAGTGTTGCATGTGGTTTCTTCCTCCTTACAGATCCCATTAGCTGGGCTGAAATGGGCCTTCACTGAGTCTTCCAGTCAACAGAAATCTGGATGTGAAATCTGTCTCTTTTTTGCCAGCCATGATTACATGGTAATCATCAGCTATCTTTCCTTACCTTATCTTCCCTTGCTTCCTTGTAGGTGACATGCTCTCTTTTCTTACTTGTGTTTCAGCTGTTAAACTGTCAGAAAAGGCTAGTGGTTTCATAATGTTGAAGCTGCATTCAGGGTTTTAGGTTTTGTATATTTGGTTTCTATTGTGGTTTTTTTCCTTACCTGTTAAAAATTGTAGCTTCTTTTCCTATTTCCATCACTGTATAAAAATTAATAGGTGGCAGCATGGCTGCATTCTTCCCCAACTTGGTTAGGAAACATGAAAAAAATGAACATTTTCCAGTACTTTCTTGTTCATGAAAACTAATCTCTAGTAGAAGAGTAGAAAAGAGTAAACAGTAAGAAATATACATATAACTTACTTATCAGTATTATCAGCACTGTATCTTCTTAAGTAAGGATATATGCGTCTTTAAACTGATGAAAACAATGTACTTAAGAAGAGGTTTTTTCCTGTTTATATATTCTATTATAACAAAACAAAAACCAGAAAGTAAAAAGTAAAAATCTTGTGTAGCTCAGAACTAGGATTTAAAATAAACCCCAATTTTATAGTGTTGCTACATAACAAAAACATATATTTTTCTTTGGCAACACACTATTTCTATGTAAATTTGTTATAAAGTTTTTAAAACAACACTATGTTATCAAACAACCCTAAAATTGGGGCTATATAGGCTTTGTTATGATTACCAACCACTTTAATAGAATATAAATGTCATATATAATGTCGTCACTATATACAAAGCCAACCATCCTATAAACAATTTTAACACATCAGGGTATTACATCTGTACATTTTACAGGAATTTTCATATGCAAGCTTAAATTAAAATAACTTGTCTTTCTATAATTAGTATGTCAAAATGGGTGAGAAACTAAAATGCAACTCTAAGAGCAGAATTTCAGATGTTATTTTAAATTTCTGTCACTTTTCTGAGAAAAAGTACTTTATGTAAATGTTCCCTTCCAACTTCCCTCCAACTGTTTTTCCATATTTCATTTTAGGCTTGGGAGGAAAATCTAATTTTTAAATTTATTTTTTCATTATTTTGGATTTTGTGTAAATATAGGTTCTTTTATAGGAAATTTGCTCTAGTGTAGTATGGAGAAGAATATAAGCTTTTTTGTGCTGATGTCTTCTTTATATTTTGATGCAAGTATGAGACAGGTACATCGCAATTTTAATGCCCTCAACTGGCAGATGCATTGATTAGATAATGAGGAACAATAGGCTATATTTCTCCTCCCAGTTCAAACTAGTTATAAAACTTCTTGTTATACCATACTGAAAATGTGGTCCTCCCTTTGAGGGAGGAGAGTTTACATCTGATGTTGCATTGGCTGATATGTGACCTCAATGTTGCCAGAAGTTTTGGGAACTATGGGAAAAAAGTAGTTTTAACCCAGTCTGCATTGGAGCTGTGGAGAGGATCTTTTTTCCTTGCCTGTACTTTTAAATTCTCTTTTCAGACAGTCGTACTAAGGAGCTAAAGCTGGTGTCATTATGCAGAATCTTCTTGCTGAGAATAAGGTATATCATGGCAATGCATTAGAAGATGAAGCTATTTGAATAGTTTAGGTTTCAGCTATTTCTCACCATTCAGAGATTGCAAAGAAGCCAGTTGCTTTAACCAGACCTGTGTTTCTGCTCAACATAGCAGAAATCTATGTTGAGCCTCCCTAGCTTGGGGCTTCTCCTGTTTCTACTTTCCAGCTTTAGCTGTTACAGCACCTTGTTTCATTCCTCTGACAAGAAACAGGGGAGCATGTCGCTGTCTGGTGTTTTAGTCCCAGCCTCGAGCATGCTGAGCTCAGAGGAGCTGTCCAGATGCAGGCAGTGACTCAAGGCTGGTGCCTGCTGTGCTCTCCCTGCTGTCCCAGCATCGAGCCCCTGCCTGACCCTGGCTGGGGCTTTGAGGGCTCCTGTGGGTTTGCAGCTTTTGCAGAGTGCTCGTGTCTCTTTTGCTACTTTGCTTGTCCAGATTCCCTCCATTAGTGTCGGCCCTGTGGTCTTTAAGGAAGGCTGTTTCTGGGCTATTGCTGATCATTAATAGTAAGATAATTTCCTTCTAATCGGGGATACAAACTGGTAAGTTTGACTAACTATTACATCTTACTCAATGTCGTCTACTTTTCAAGTGTGCAGCTAGATTTGTGTTTTGTTCTATTGACAAAATCAGTTTGTTTGGACTTTTTTTAACCAAAATGTGAGTAAAGTAAGAGCTTTAATCATTTACTGTGGTATTTTTCATTACAAATAAGTAGAACACTTGCCCCCATGCCGCCTTTTAACAAATTTCAGCTGTCACCCATCTTTCTCGAGCATATAATGCTTGCTTCATACAAAATCAGTCTGGTTTTTATGAAAAAAATCTTCCCTATTTAACAGCTGTCCTCTGGATGTTAATTTTTTTGTGCACTGAATGAATAGACACTCCCTCACTGCTTTTCGCATTATTCTCTGTTTCTGATTGAATTGCTTCTGTCTACTGAACCTCATAGGGATTGAAAAAATTTAAATATCAATTGCATCTTAAGTATATATAAAGTATTTGAATAAAAGCAAAAAAAAGTGTATGGAAATAAATAGAAGATACAATAGTTACGAAAGGAAATTTTTTCAAAGACTCTATTTTTCTTTTGAAGATTACAATGCAGTTTTACCTAATTTTACTCAGACATCTTATTTTCTATATCCTTTTTTTTAATACAGTACTCCAGTTGTGCGCAATTCCCCCCTTATTCCTGTGAATCCCAAGCCTACAGACTGTATTTGGCTTTCATCCATTTTTTGGCATCCTGGAACTTCTTCAGTGCAAGTTCTCATATAAAAGGTTCTGCTTTGGCCCCTGGGGACCGCAACACGATATTGGATGTGGAGGAAGTGGAGACCTGATATGGCCTATTCTTTGATCTGCTGGAATTGCTATTGACTTCTCATCCTTCTCCTGCCTAACTACAGGGGATAGAGAGGAACCACTGAAACAGAGATAAGAAAGCAGGGATTTATAGTGTTCTAAACTCAAACATGCAAAAGTACAGGGGTACACCCTTTATTAAAGACAGTGACTGTACTAAATAAAGCAAACAAACAAACCAACCTGCACTTTCAGGAAAATAAACGGAAAGGCTAAATAATTGATCAAGGGGGAAACCTAATAAACTGACTGTGTGCTCATCCTATATTGCTGCAAACAGCAGCTATCTTAGAAAACAGCTCCAGGATTGCTTGCTTGTCTTGCTAGAAGCCTTGTGTTCATAAACATTGTTGTAGCAGGTGAATGCTAATAAAATTGTTGTGTTCAACTGATTATTTTACCCTGTTATATCTTGCTTTGCACATAAATTAAACAGGAAATAGCTGGGGCTTTAAGAAGTGCACATCTTTCTGCAAGCAACTAGACCAGAACATCTTTGTAGTAATTGACCTGGTGACACTAATTCAAATACCCAGTGCATTCACCACAAGCTTTCTGTGGTTTTGAGAATCTCAAAATCCAGTTAGTGTCCAGGGTGAGTCTGTATATTTTGGAGGCACCTGGTCTTGACAAAAGACAAAAAAATCCTGGTGAGATTTTCTAAATTCCTCTTACTTGATGTCAGACATGACACAAAGTGAGTATTTTAATCAGGCAGAGTAATTGAAGTAATCAGAAGAAGGGACAGAGGTGATGTGGAAGAGCCAGCAGGTTTTGCAGTGACTCAACTGCATTTGTAATTTATTTGCCATTATTATATGTAATCTTATTCTCTTTATTTCTGCATTTTTATTCCAGTTTCATATTTGTGATTACTTCAGCTCCTCACAACCAGCCTTTGACCTGTTCAACTGGCATTAGACACATCTGGGAATGCAATCAGTTTAATGATGTTTAAGGAGTTCCTATAAGGGACCAGCACACATGTTTTGCTCACAAAGCCTTCTCCTCCCTGGGATGAGCAGAACTCATGTGAGCTTTGGCTCACATGGACATGCAGGGGCAGAAGATCCTCAGCATGCTGGTGCCTATTCCCACCCCCAGCTCCCCACACCATATGAAAATGTGACAAGTGAGAGATTTGAGAAATACCAGAAAGAAGGTGAGGCAATTGTAATTCAATTGCGAGACATAATTAAAAAAACCCAAAAAAACTATATCTCAAAGGGAGTTATTAATTCTGGTGCTCATAAATGGTTTATTTTCATCTTCCTGTATAAAACATAACTTGCTTCATTTTTATTGCCTTTTCCAGCTCCATGTGAAATCCACAGCCAGTAATTGTTCCTCATTCCCTTCTGTCAAACAGGTGGCATACTGAACAATTAAAGTTTCTGTTTATAATAAGCTACAATGTCTAAAAGAAGAGATAAAAGATTAATTTTAAAATAATCTGGAAAATCAGAGGACAGTCTGCTGTCTCATAGAAACCAGGCCTTACTTTGTAATAAAGTAAAAGCTTTCTCTTTTTAAGGACAATGAAATAAATTTTACCACTCACCACTTCTGATTTTCAGCATTTGCATTTGCTGGGGGAGGTAATCTACTTTCTATTGTCCCAACCTGAGATGATCAGTGGAATAGCATTATCTAAGAGGGTTTTCCTTGCTATTAGAGATCCTGTCCTCAAAGAATACAACCTCCTCTCAGTGAAGCAAGTCTCAGTAGTGCCCCAGTTCAGACCATGTGCCACTCCAAAACCAATTATAAAGCTGTTACCAGGAGACAGACAGTGAAAAAATCCTGCACATGTACTGGTGATTCTCTGCACCTCAGCTCACTTTGTAGGGCTAGCTGATTCAAAACCAGCCCACACATAATCTGAAAAAGCAATTTTTACTTGTTGACTTAAAGTCTTAAGCATCTGAACACAGCAGTAACAATTTAAATGAAATTATAATGTATGGTATAGGAAATAATATTGCTGATTAGTGAACAGATTAATCCAAAATATGTTTTTAAACTCAGCTATGAACATTTGGAGACATGTCTTCCTCTCAATTTGAGCATGAAAAGGGGAAAAAATTACTAAACTTGAAGTAACCTTGTATGAATGGCAGATGACATGCAAGAGAAACATGTTGCAATAAATAAATATACAATTTGGGGTCTATAATTTTCCATTGCATTAATTTGTATGAATGTATTTAGAGCACTAATTTAGACTGGAAATTAAGGCTGTTTATGGCAACTGCTGCATGTTGATGGAAGTATCATTTCATGTACTATATTTTAAAAGCATGTCATTGACTTTTTAAAACTGCTACAAAGTTAAATGCACAAAATTACTTTAGCAAAATGTTTTGCCATACAATTGAAACATAAAAAATGAGAAATTAAAGGTCTTATATATTTCTGCAAAATTTTTAATTTTTCTAAGAGCAATTTAACTGACCTGGAATTACTTTTATAGAAAGACACTGTCAGATGTAGTAAAAAAATATTATTTAATCTTGCTTTGTCACTATTTTCAGTTTGAAATTCTAAATTTATTAATTGTATGCACAAATTTATTTTTGGCATTTTAACTTTTCAAAGCCTAATTAAACCATCCTATGGTTATAGAATAAGAGCAGAGCACAGGAAACTCTGTGAGAGCTCTGATTTAATGTTTCATTCCTGGGAGTACATACTGAAATTGTGGATTTTCCTTCATAGTGTCCATTGACTGCTTCTGGGTGAGAGAATTCTTGGCCTGTGTGCCAATATGTGGGTAGCCTTGTCTACCATTTCATTGCCCATTTCATCATGAGCGATCCCAGCACCTTTGCAAAATCCCTGTCCTCTTGGAGGGGACATTGTTAATTCCAGTTTTATCAACATCAAGGATGGATAGCACAAAACGGAGTCAAATTTTGCCAGTGTCCCGGGTGTCCAGAGGAATCAGTGGAAACAAATGATCGCTTCCTACCAGGATACTTACCTCAAGAATTGTTGCTCAGCCTCAGGAGAAGAAAGACATGTTTTGCCTGCTCCTAGAGATAAGTAGTAGTGAGGAAAGAGAGGGGAGGCAGATAGCAGATGCTTCTTCCTGCAGTTCTTGGTGGTGGAAACCAATAAACTCCAAACGTTACCCACAGTGGCAAGGGGAAGCTGGGATTGTCTTCAAAGAGAAAAGCAAGAGGGTGGGTATTTGAGAAGAGAGAAGGAAACAGCACAAGCAGTAGGGGAAGAAAGCAAATAATGGTAATAATAACTCTCAAAATGAAATGTCAATAGTTGTAAAATTGAATCCTGTTCCTAAAGGAACAGGTAAGGCTTTGGCACAGTTAAAATTTTCATTTTACTGGGAGAGAGGAGTGGAATGAAAGAAGTAAATTTCGTTAAATACAGAGAGAAGTTTTATCCTGTATTTTCAATTGTTGACTCTGAAGTGGTGCTCAGAAGAAAATGAAAACCTGAATAACTCTGTGAAATCTTCTTGAATACACAGCTCCTCTTTCTAATTGAAAATCATCATGGCAAAGCTTCTGGCTGGCAGGCAACTCTTGGAAAAGTAGCCACTGAATCTGAGTGCCACTGTTCTTGTTTGCCTCTTCTGATATGCTTTACAATGTGCAATAAAAATAAATACATAACTGGGCAGGACTGATGACTAGCAATTACTGGCATGCAGATCCACAAGCTGCAATTGCATGACCATTACATTGTTTGTAAAGACAATGTTTGAAATTGTTTTCCCTTATATACAGGTACTACAGTACCTTCAAAGAGAGAAATGCAGAGATTGCTGTAAGCAATTAACAAATATGCAGTTTAGCAGAGATATTATTCTTCATCCTAAAGACGTGTCAATTTTTTTTAGTGGTAAGTTATCTTATATTTCCCCACTCTTTTTATACTGAAAAGCATTTAAAATTACTTGAACCTGTTTAAAAAGTGGTTTGATTGTAGCAAGAAAGAGAACTTAGGCAAGTGCTTTGAAAATGCTTAGAAATGAATAATCACTTCAAACAGATTAAACTCTCATATTCTGCCTCCTACACTTATACAAATAAAAATAATATTATACAATTCCTTCCACAAACTGCATTTTAACAACATTTGGAGCTCTCATGAGCCATGATATTCCAGTTGAAATGCTGTTTCAAAAGTTCCGTTTTGTGTAGATATTCTTTCTAATCCTTAGATCTGTGTTTAGATCTTCCTTCTAATTTCTAGGATGTAAGTAATTAATACTTGTTTTCGTGTCATTTTGTTTTGTGACTTGGTAGTTCTGTTCCCTTCCTGCAGTTAATAACTGAGTTACATCCTTTCTAGTACTTTGTTTTAATAACCAAACCAAAATTTCTCTGATATGACAACCTGGGCTTCCCCAGTCATTCAGGCAGTTTCCTCTGCAGCTACCTGGCTTAAAAATGGTGGTGCTGAGGACCCAGTGCCAACACATTTAGGAGATTTCCATTTTGGACTTAATTTAGTCTCTTTCTGTGAGCTAAATGCCTGTTAGCAGTCAGGGCACTTTCAATGTGCCTTTTGAGTCTACCTTCCAGTTTAGTTTCTCCTCCGGGAATCAGATCTGTGCTCTTTGACCCATCTGTGGTGTGAAGCAAGGCACAGTCAGCAATGATCCACTTAAAAAACACCTGCCTTGGCCAGACTGAAATGCTGTTGTAGACAATCCCTGATAGCCTCACTGGACTTTCTTGAGTAACTGAGATTTAGTACTGTGTTCTTTTCCAAAATTCTTCAGTCTGTGTACTGAGTCACATGTGATAATTGTTTGTTGCCCTCCACAGCTATCTGTTATAATGAGCAATTGGGGTTTTTTAATGGAGAAGAGAATGGAGAGGTTGCCATAGGAGATTTAAAAGTATGCCACTTCTAACTAGCCCAAATATCTTGATATTCTATTTTTCTCATAGGATAAATCGATTAGTAGAAAATTAATTTTTAATAGGAAACAATTTTAAAATGCAAGTATTAAAAGGGGTGATAATTTAGACACTTTAAATAAACAGGCTTCTCACTTTTTTGTTTTAACAGTTTCTTTAATGTTTTTGGTATTTTGTTTTGTTTTGTTTTGTTTGGCTATTCCAAAATGGCATGATTTTACTTGTGTGTTGAAAGGCACATTAACCAAGCGAGGGGAAAAAGAGGAGCTATATATAGCTTTACTGTCCCTTTAGGGAGTCATTGCTTGAGCTTCATTAATATGCATTTTAGCACAATCTAATTTACTCATATGGCTGGCCCCAGGTGTTTGGAAAGGCAACCAGAGGAAAATCAGATCATACTAAAATTAGAGGCAAGAAATATTGAATGCCTTCCCTTTTAGGTCCTTGAAATGCACATATTAATTATAACTGGATGAATTTATGAAAACCAATACTATGAACAGCTCCAATAGCAATTATTCTTGAAAAATTATCTTTACCTATAAGTGTATTGTGGTCAAAGTGCAGAGAAAATGTTCTATTAAAGAAGATATGTATATATTTTCCCCTCCAAACATTAAATTTTTGGTGCAGTGTCCCTGTGACATCCTTCTGATATGTAGTTAATCACTGAAAATGACAAGGAAAACCCTTATTTCGTGTATGCCATCTTTTGAATGGTTTCAAATGGGGCATCAGGATTTGATGGATTTGAAAATTTTTTCTAAGAATACTTTTTTTGCTGGGTTACAAAACACCAAGGCCAGAAACAATGGTGAGGGAAAAGTGAGATGTGGGGAAAAAAGGTTAAAAAATTATCTCTGTGTGGTCTGATTAAAAGCTTCATGCTTTCATGATGTTAGTAGGAAGCTTTGGCAATCAAGTGCTCCCAGCTGGTCTCTGAGCTGCTAACGGGATGTAGTGGGTCAATAAAGGGGCTTTATATATTAATTTCCTAAGTGTCATCTTGATTTGCAGTAGCAAGTGTAAGCAAAACAATCTCAAACACATCAGCCCCGAAGGTGCCTTTGGAGCAACACTCGTCGCTCTGCCCTTGCCCGGGTGCTCCGAACTCTTCAGCTGGGGAGGTGCTTGCCTGGGGAAGAGACTATTTCAGAATCAGTCTCTAGGGGTTGAACAGCATGAATTACAGTGGTAGCAGGCTACTGAGGAACGCATATGTTATGAAAACACTTAGTCATCTCTAGTGAGATTGTGATCTGAAATATCTGACCTTCCTATGATTCAAAAATAGACTCCAGCACAAAGGACAGTCACCACATGTCACCACATGTGTAGCAGCACAGGGGCCTCTATGACCTGTGCTTGGAGAAGCAATGCTAACAGAGCTGCTCCTCCCTGCCATTCCCACCCAAGAGACAGTCTGTAAGGCTTCAGAGGAGCTCAGTTCTCTCCAGGCTTCATGTATCTCACCACAGGGTATTCTAAAGAGTTTTATTCCTGTAGACAGGAGTTTAATAAGATATCTTGTTATTTCAGCTTGGACAAAGTTTTACTAACCTAAAAAGGAGTGCAGTTAGTTCTGTTTCAAGCAGGGTGTGATTTCAGGAGATACCCCACTGAAATTTACTCACATGCACATCTTTGTCAGGCAGACTGTTTATTACACCTCAGTGGAGCACTATGGACAAATGCTACTTTGATGTGAGAAGCAGGGTGACATTAAAGGTGAATACTAGAGTTCACTATTAAGAAGGAACTTAAAATGTACTTACAGAAAGGAATAGAGTCTCCACAGAGAGTGGCATTTAAGAATAGTCCATCTAAAGAACATTCCCCTAAAGCAAAACATCAAAGAGAGGATAAGGAATATGTTTTAGGCTGCAATTCTGGAAAGAAATCAAAGTCATATGAATTTCATTAAATCACCAAGGAGTTTAAGAAGTAGATTGGAAATACACATGAAAAATATTGCAGTAAATGAAAAATAAAGTATCCAGTGACCAGAGAAAAATAGAGAAAAGAAGGTGATGAAAAGATGATTATTCAGAACTAGCTTAGGGAAAGAAGTATCCTAGTAGATGAGAAAACATACCTATGGGAAGCAGTTTTTGATCCTATCTGACCACAAACTCAAACAAAGTCTATTCCCAGAACCAACCTATATATAAATATGATCCTTCAAACTTGACAAAATAATAGAACCTTATAAAAAAAATTATTGAATCCATTTCCTGTCTATATGCATCGTTTCTCCTAGACTAAGGCAATGAGCTCATTTACAGGAATGAGAACATTGCCTTTAATAGTTTAACTACCTGTTGGCAAATGTACATGCTTTTGCAATATGTCAACAAACCACCCTTCTCCAACTGTGTCAGTAACATTGCTGCATTAGTAGGAATGACCACAAACCTTAATGAGATGGAGATTTGGTCTGCCCTGGCACTCCAGCATCCACCAACACCCAACTGCAACGCCTGGCCACGTGTCCAGGATAAACTATGACTTGTGGAGTTAAAAACCCAGCCATGAAGAGGACACACAGAGGGAAACGTAGCATCCTGGTGCCAGAATGTGCCATGGTCAGAGACTAGGCTCCTGGCAAAAGGAGTTGAATGAGGCCAGGGCCTTGCTAAGTACCCTTCCACAATGCCAGCAAACCTAGAGTGAAGCCCTCCCCCTCGGGCAGCTGCTGTCCCATCTCTACAGCTGGACTGAAGCTCATGGTTAGGGAAAAAGCAAGGCTGGCAAAAATGAAAGAATGTAGGGGTAAAGAGAGATTGGATTGGGGCTAGAAGTAATGGCTGAGGTGTAATGTGACAATTAGTGCTTCAATCCCAGGAAGAAATAAAATACTTCAGCAATGCCAATTACGTCTATTCCACAAGTTCTTTTGATGAATAAAGCCACAGAAGAACAAGGGTATACTTCAAATTATATTCTGTGTGTCTTCATTACATATGGTGCCACTGATACATGTATTTTTGTACAAAAAATTACATCTACTAACAAGATCCACTTTTACCTAAGAGTGTGACAGGTAATGGCTCAATGAGTTGCAGAGAAAAATACCTGGATGTATCAGACCATGAATCTATACTCACACTATTCTTCAATAAATGGTTAAGTGTATGTAATCCTGAACACTGTAGTTTTACCTAAGGATGCTCCATCAATGTGGTACTTAAAAACAGGTATATTCAAGGAGATCCTGGTATGTACAGTAGGCAATTATGGTTTCCATTCATTCAGACAGTTGAACTCATGAAGAATCTAAAAGAAGAGCTGCCTCTTGAGCACTCGGGAAAAGTGCTGGGCTGGTTAATGAAGAAGCAGAGCAGGAAGAAAAAATGAAACAGACTGTGGATACTTAGTCTTACTCAGGCATGGAAAGGAGTTTGTGCCTGAATTGTACCATATTTAAGCCTGAGTTGTACACATTTGCCACTTGGGTAAAACATTTTCCATCTAGAATTAACTGTAGATTTTTGCATATATAATTGTATGATTTTTTTTGCAGACTTGGGAAAAGAACATTTTTTGGGTTCTCGACTTTACTGGCCCTGAGGAACCCATACAAATTTACATCCATAAGTAAACTATGCAATTATTATTAGGTAGTCATGCTTCACTGAAGTCTAAAATTCTCTCCTTGTCACATTCTAATACACTGTGAATGGATATGACTGTGCTCAGCTGTAAATGTTGTGTCTACATCATCTTTGCAAAGAGCATCTTTCCCCTTGCCTTATCCTGGAGATGTTCTCAAGGTGACTCTTGAAAGTTCCTCAGGCACCTAAATACAGGCATCTACTTCACTTGGACAGGTGTAAAATATATTCCCTGAAGAATATCTATTGCAATCCAGAGTTAAGGTGACTTTTCATCTCTGTTCACCCCTGAGATATGCTCTGAAAATCCTATGACCTAGAAAAATAGCATTAGAAGTAGGAGCGGAGGGTCATCAAATCCTCTGCTAGCACCAGGCTGGATGAGTTTGTATCTGTATCCAACCTGTAGCTCAAGAATTCTGGTGATTGAGAATTTACTGTTTCCCCTGGTGAGAGCTCTTCTAGTGCATAATTACCTTGCTGCAAGAAAATGTGCCTTTTTATGTAGCCCAACTATCTGTTTGATTAAAGGCAACTGTTTCTTGTCTTACCACCACAGATACTGATAAGAGATCCTACCCACTTAGCAGCAGTCAGTCTCTGAGATACTCATATTTCTGATCATGAGCTCCACCAACAATCCCAGCTCTTCCACAACCTTCCTTCTAAATTCTGGATTTTAGCCATTGCATCCTTCTCATTGTTGCAGTGTTTTCTCTGTTTGGTTCTTATTCTGAGACTGCGATGCCAACAACTCCACACTGCAGAGCAGTTCAGTTTTGGGCTCCCTAGCACTGAATGCTTGAGACAAAATCCAGAGACTTTGTAGAAAATATTGTTGCTTAATTCATTATCAACATGGTTGTACTTATAGCTGACATTTGGAAGCACTTACCCAGGGACAGGAAATTCTGATTTCTACCCATTCCTGTGTTTGTAGCTGTTTGGATCCACACTGTCTCTCTACCAGGAGAGTGCTCTTTTTTCAGCTGGTTTAGCTAGCTCCGCCTTCAGCTGTAGCTTAATCACTCTGCAGCTAGAAAAGCATCCACTTGGACAAAGAAAAAAAAGTTCAGGATGGAAAACCACAACCAAATGTTTATGACATTGGTATGGGACTGGGCCCTGGGAATAGTCTCTGGTACGGATCTTTATTTTTATTGTTGGCAGTCCTCAACTTATTCTAAGAAGTTCTAATACAACCAAAGAGGACAAATCATGTTGCAAGGGTTTTCTCTACTTTATCAGACAGGGACTGATGAAATCAGGTTCCATTTACACCATTATTCTCATTCCACATCACTGGAGGAGGCATGCTTCTGCTTCATGGGAGCTGCAATAGGTATTATTCATTTATAATAAATAAAATGCAGGCATAAAAAGACCATGCATAGATACTTACAGAATAAAGACTAGAGTTTTAGTTATAATGAATTCATTAATATCATTTAACTGGAACTACCTTTCATTAGAATAACAACAGCCTTTGAATAAGAAATCACTAAATAAAAATCTCCACTTTAGTCAATGGAAAATTATGTCACACATATGGTGAGCATACATATCGGCAGGGAAGCATGTGTGTCTGAAAGAAATACCTGAATTATAACCTGAATTAAAATGCTAAAAATAGTAGGAGCCTGTTTAGCAGAGGTAACATAAAGAGACCTCCTTAGCCTTTCAGTAATGCATACTATAGTTCACAGCAGCCTGCTCTATTCTGAGCACCTGTACATCATCATCCTGCATTACAGTGCTTCGTAGCTCATTCTCCCTTCATTTCTCAGACATACCACTTACCATTCTGCCTTTTGGGTCAGTCATGATGCTTTTGCACATCATCCTTTCATACCCAGCTGATTTATTCATGATGAGAAGAGGAATTACATATTTGGTGTGGGTAGATCTCTGTAATGTAACCAATAAACACATTTGATTTGACAGCAGGATAAATAGAAGTATTTTCATCTTCTTTTCAGCTATGAGTTTGAGAGTGATCACTTTTTCTTTAAAATTTGCAATTTCTTGTAATATTTTAGCCATTGTCATTGCTTGATGAGGTCAGATGGGCATAAGAAAGAACAAGTCACAAATGAAAAGAAGTTGTAATTTAATGTTAAAAAATTATTTTAGCCATCATTAAAGTGACTTAATTACGTAAAATGACTTTGGTACCAAATCAGTTTGGTTGGCCAGCCAGGCTGTGGTGGGTCTTCTGTCATCAGATTGCTACCATGTTTCTAGGATTTCTTACACACTGGGACTGCCAGGCTCCACTGCCACACTGCTATGCAGCGGGTAGGGAGGACGGTCTGTGAGGGCAGGAGCAGGTGGGAAGTGCTGTTTCCAGTGGTGGGGAAGGAAAAAGCTTTAACTGAGTTAATAGGTACTCAATGAGGTTTTTTCTTATATAACTGAGTGCTGTAAAGTTCCCCACTAAAGAAGCAAATGCAGGTTTAATTTTCCTAGCATGACAGTAACTGGGAATGGTAATTCCTTGTCTTTGCATTTGTGATGAAGCTCTTGCCCTTAGCAGCCTGCCCTGAGAAAAACTAGGACCATTTTTCCCAGGTGTATATAAAGTGGTGGGCTACATGAAAGTGAAGTATGTAAACCAGAAATCTTATTTGTATTTACAAATTATTTATTCAAACTAGCATTATTATACAATCTTTTCAATATTATGCATACTTAATGGTAGTTTCTTTATTAGGTTGAAGAGGTAGTTCTTATAGGAATTAAGAAAAAAAATATAGTTCTTAAAATTCAAGCAAAAAACATTAATGGGATTTCCACTGCCTGAATGAGTTGAGAATCCACCAGCATGTGTCTTCATCAGAGAGAAAAGGGAAGATGCCGTCCTGCAGCTTGGATGAGAGGTTTGCCACCAGAGGGAGTCGTGGGAACACAGTAAAAGGGGTTGCTTTGGCACAGGAGAGGTCAGTAGACATTTCAGCCATAAGGATGAATGATCAAAATTTTCTCTTCGGCCACAGCTAATTTTTTATTAATTCATCATGCAGTAAAAATCAGCTTAAAATTTTGGCTTTTGGCTATACGTGCAAAATTTTCTTGTTAAAAAGGCAACCTTGATGTTTTGTATTCAACCTTCATAATTTGTGCAAAATATACACTTGCTCGATAAAGCAAAATTGCTAATTAAGCAATTTCATGCTTGAAAATACAGCTCCAGAACTAAAAATCAAGACATGCTTTAAATATCAGGTACAATTTTACCGCCTTAGTATAAGAATTGTGGTAATATGAAATTTTTCTGGTAACACCTTTGCTGGTGATAAAGCAGATTACATCTGATTGCTGTAATGGTTCTAGATTGCTGATAGCTCAAACTGAGCTACAGAGCATTGTGAAACAAATAGTCTGGCTCTGGAGATGAGTAGAGGGTGGAAGAAATGCAGAATTGTTATTGAAGAACTATTCTTTTGACTAGATTAAAAGTTTAAAGAGGTACAGAATCTATTCAAAATAATACTGGAGTGCTTTATACTGCCAATATGGTTTGAAAGTGCTTAAAAGAGGCAAGAAGAGAAGCTGATATGATCTGATGCTTAGCAAAAGAAAAAGAAGTCTTCAGAGAAGTTTATACATTTAGTTCCTTCTTTGGTCTAATACGCTATGCTTCAGCTCCTGGCGCTTCTGATAAGTGCTTTTGTATGGAAATGTATGTACATTCCTCCCTGAAGTGACAAACCTAATAAAACTTTAGGAACCCATTCATCGCTCACTTAAACCCAGGTTCCCATTGCTGCACATGGTTAAGTGCTGTGTATCAGAAATTGAAGTAACAGCAGCCTGGAAAAGAACTCAATAAAAGAGAAACATCAGTTTCGAGTCCTGAGGGTGCCCACAGATCCCCCACAGTGCTTTGTGGCAGGTACTGGGTGGAATTAGGTTATCTTAGATATATGTAATAAATAACGTGTATAAATGCCTCTGCTTTTCCCTGTTTGCTGCCTATTCTCCCTTTTACTAATCCCCTTACTTCTGCTCCTCTAGCAGTTGTGCAATTTTTCTGCAGCTCTGCCAAACCAAAGTTCATTTTAAGGCTAGAGCATGTCACAGGAGAGGTGCTGATGAGTCTTTAAGGTATTCATCTCTTTCACTGAGGGTGATTCTTTATAACCTTAAGATTTCCTGTCTTTTGGGAATTGTGACATTTTCATTGAGATAGACCAAACATCCTTATGATCTTTGCAATTTTCATCATCCTTTTCCCTTCAGCTTACAAGAAATTCAATGTCTAGAACTTGTAAAGACTGAAATAAATTACAAAGATTTTGCTTTCTGTCTTGCTTTTCATATCTATCAGAATGGAGTTGTATTGGTAGAAACCAAGTAACTCTTGAAATTATGGCACATCTAGAATACCACCTGTTCATAAACACAAATATAACAATTAAGGAAAAAATATATGGAAAATTTTTATTTTTACAATTTTCATACTTGTGAGAAAACTAACAAATAATAAAGATATATACATTAAAATTATTAAAATATTAAAATGGAATTTATTATTTGAGACTATTGATACACTTCTCATTCATTTTTCTGGAGAAGAAACGTGGAATTTTTTTTTAGGATCCATGGAAGGAATTTCACCACACTTTGCAGGAGTAGTAGGGATCCTAGTTTGCTGCTTATTTTATAACTCAAGCAAACTGTGTAGATGTTGCTCTTCTTGCACTTTGTACTGGAGAATAGCAGAATCTGCAAAGATCTGTGATCCTCCTGTACAGTCTTCACTATCCTGCTTTTTGTTCTTGGCTCCAACAAACTGTCATGGGATGCATCTATACATCACAGCTCCTGTGCTTGTGTTTTTGAGGGCTTTTGTAGGAAATATGTAATGGATCTTGTGCCTTCCAGAGCTCTAGAAATACTTGTGGAGAGAAGGAAAATAACTTGACTTTTTGGAAAAAAATCAGTTAAAATTAGTTCAACACACTCAACAGTGCTTATATCCCTGTATAAGCAATGTTAAATACAGTTATTGTCCTAACTTGCAGCTTTGGAAATTAAGAGGTATATTCACACCATTTAAAATTGTACACATGCAAAATTCTGCCCTATTTCAGTTTTACAGGTCCAAAATCTACAACAAAACTTGCACCTGTGCAGGTATTTCAAGGATTATTTTACTTTAAAATGGATCCTAATTATTTTTGGTTCAACATCTTCTGACTATAGTTTAATTAATTTTTAAGTGTTAGTAAAGCATATTTCACCATTTTAACATAAAATTTATTAAATTAAATTAAATATAAGTGAAGAAAAACTGCTCATCTTTATGAGACAAAATTCTCAGTTCAACTATAATTTTGAATCACTGTAGATTTGAACACTAAAGTGTCCATTTTAATGTAATACTTTTCATCTCAATACTTTCTAATGTTCTTATATAAAACAGTAGATCTTCCAATATTAAGGAATCATATCACTTCTGCATAAGTATCATTCTGATTTTACATTTTTATCCCTGTTTGGCGTAAAACACTGTGAAATATAGTATTTTCCACTGATTTACACATTCTGTTTTCTTACAGGTTTTATTTCACTGTTTGAAAAATGCCACTAAAACCACTTCAAACTTGATAATGTTCCATATCATGAGCAGGAAGTTCATAATGACATGCTTGGTGCTTTTAAGCTTGAAGATATTGAGTCAGATTCTGTACAATGCTTAGATTTCTATGTACTTTTTAAAAACATGACTAGAACAAATCCTTTATCTTTAGTAATATTTTAGTCAACAGAAGAATCTTGACAATTAAAATGTTGTTTCCAAAGCTCATTACTTTCCCATGTCAAATGGGAAATATACAGATTAGAGGGTTGTGTGTTTCCTTCTAATTTAGTAAGGAAAACAGTGTAGAAAAAGGGCCATTTTCAGAGCTGATTAGAGAAACCTCAGATGTCAGGGAATACACAGCTCTTTTAAGAAAAGAAGAATATTAAGTAACCTTTGAGCAGCGCTACAATGTGACATTTTTACAAGGAACTCATTTGGAAAAAAGTAAAGAGCAGATACTCAGAAAAGACTCAAAAGAGCGCAGCTATTATGTGTTCCTATCATCTGGAAAAGGTGGTGACTTCTTGTTCTAATCCACTAGAAAGTATTCCTCAGCAGAACCAAATCCCAGAAAAACAGATATTTTTGGGGGGGCCTGTCTTCTTAATTCTCCTCTTTTATTTTCAGTAGCATTTGTAATGTGTCATTCTTAAGGCCTTGCTTCTAATGTCCTTGGAAAATTAACCAAGGTGTTAACAGCTGAGAAAAATACAAATCGCAGGAAGAGATAGGCAGAGAGTCACAGATCCACTCATGAATAGCTCTTGGATAGTAAAGAGCAAGTTCCACAGGCAATGAGGTGAATATGTTGAACATTTTTTTGCAAGAAAATGCTCTTCAGTGTTTCAAAAGTACTTCTACCCAAAAGACTTCCTGAAAAAAATCTCACTAAAGATGCTTTTTAGACATTCACTTTTGGCATTTCCTATGGGAGCTGGATTTCGTGCAGCTGCAAATATCCAGAGGAGCCACTCTCAGTTCTGGAAGACATCCATGGAGAGCTGATGACTTCCTCAGGCCCTAATCTGCTGCACTGGAGTTCTGCTGTCACACCTGAGAGAAGCTCCTTTGGATCCCACCTCCTATGAGAAAGAGCAAAGAGAAGGACAGGATGGACCTGCAGAGCCATTCTGTGTAATCCCCAGCCTGGTGGGGGAGCAGGAGAAGGGCTTGTGTATCTGGTACAATTGATATCTCTCACAAGCACTGCCTGTTGTAAATAACCTGCCCTCATTCTGACTGAAGACATGTGGACATAAAATACATATGTAGCAGCTGCATAGGATGTTCCTAAATAGTATGCCCATTTTTACCATTGTTGAAAGGCAGACCAGCTTATTTGGATTCATTGCTTCTGTGTGAAACCATGCATTTGATTTTCATTCAGGATGCTCTAAAGAGAAATCATACAGGAATTCATCTGAAAACTGGGCAAATGTGAGAACAATTAAGTTCATTTTGTGCAGTTATTTCCTGAATGTAGAAAAATGCAGATCACCTCCCGCTGTTTTTGGATTACCTTATTCAGTTGATGCATAACGCCTTTGTGGAAAGCCGCAGTCTGCTGAAGTGAGTCTAGGCAGTCTCAGCTTTGAAAATTTATCGTGCATGTGTACTTGCAAAGATTGCAAGAGAAAGTTTTACTAACCTGTATCTATTCTTGATGGCTTAAGGAAGAAAAAAGCTCATATGTTTATTTACCAAATTGAAGTGGCAACATCTTCTCTGCACCACTTCAGGACTTTATATGAGGGAAATGACAATGCCTACTTGGAATGAAAACTTTTCTCTGTTTAGGTAGCACTAGATTTACTAAGGGCTTCATTTCTTCTCTTTGTTTGTTTTGTTTATTTCACCTGCTGCTCTGGAGAAAGGGAGCATGGAAACAGATAATATGAACTGGTATATGAAGGAAAAAAGGAAAAAAATCATTATCTTTTCCTCCTGCAGAGTTCCCCATAGCCCAGCTACATTCCTCAACTGGATGCAGAGAATATTTTAGCCTGATGAAGACATTCTGCTGGTAGAATATAGAGGTTAAGACTGATACAGTTTTCTAATACAAATACTTAGTCCTTTTAATTTCCTAAGAAAATGTTACTTTTCAGATTGTGTGTGTTTCAGAGCAAGACAAACAAGTTTGCTCTTTGATCTACAAAGACAGAGGCTAAGCTATGAATAAGCTTCTCATGTCCTCTCAGATATCCACCAAATGCTGTGCCCTTTGAGGATCATCAAGCAAAGACACAGTAGTTTTGGCAATCCGATGTAGATTCTAACTCCCATGCATGATGCTCCTGCATTGTTATTGCTTGGAGAGTAGATGGGCATTTGGGATTACCTTTCCCCTCCAGAAGAATTTTTCCAGGAATGAAGCAACTTGGTGTATGACAGAATTTTGTCTCGGCATAAGGCTAGCTGGAAGCCTTCTCTTTGTACACATTTTGTGACTAAAGAGGAACACAAACCTGTATTTGCAAAGTCAGATGTCAAAAAAAGAACCCCTGAGTAGAAATTCTACAAATGACCTATTTTTTATAGTCATCAGGAACCTGCACCTCTGAATGTCTCTAATTTATAATTTTGTAAACAATTGGTGGGAAAAACCCTTGACCTGTGTCTTAATTAGACCACTTGTATTTAGGTGAGTTTTAACAGGAGTTCAGTGTGAGTAATTCTTTTGCAAAGTTCTAAGCTTGACAAGATGGCATTTAGTCAGAAGCATTTCATGAGCTCTAACATTGTTTAAGATCTCAAGTTTTGCCTTTCTGTTGTTGGAAGCTGCCTTGGGTAGAGTGCATTGGAGGGTAAGGTGTTAGCATGGTTAGCACAGACCCAGGAGAACCAAGTTCAATATTCAGCTCCACTATAATCTCCCTTATGACAGTTCATTGTTTCTGCTTCAGTTCATCATTTTTATTACTTTTGAAACAGAGCTGAATAACTTCCTAGTTTTATTTTCAGACCATGAGTTGTTCTGCTCAGTCTAGGAGTCACTAAATGGAACAGAATGGCCTGAAAATATGGGAGGTTAGAGTGGGAAGATTTTATATCTCTGGGAAAAAGGGATGACACTACTCCCTTACTTAGAGCTGTAAGGTCTACTGAGATATCAGTAAAGTACAATATCTAAAGTGTGCAGTAAAAAATCTGATGCAGCAACAACAATGGCAACAAAATTTTTAAAACTGAAATCTCTAGTATTTGATTGGGAAGGTGGCAAGTTTCAATTTTTCCATTTTTTTTAAATCCTCTATCAATGGCAATTTGACTACTTGATTAGGTAAGCCCACAAACGAATAGTGAATAATTGAATAAGAAGGTTGGTCCAAATTTAAATGTAAGAAAACTCATGTTTTTAATACACATGTGGACTAAATATGAATTTCCCACCATAACCAGGTAACTAAGAAAACAGCTATCGAAGCTGCAAAAAATCCAAAGATTTTTGATCTTAGTGGATCAATGACAAATCATCTATTGTCTCAGTGCACCTGAATTTCACTTACAAAGCGAATGGAAGTGTAGAAGACAAGAAAAATACTGGGTTTTCATTTACTTGTATCAGTCACCATAAAAATGGACTTTGAGCACAAGGTTACAACTTGTGAGGGTTTTTTTTTTTTTGGAAGGCTATAAAACATTTCAAAGCTTTTAGCACATAAACATTCCCAGGATTACTAGGTCAGATGAATCTGACAATCCATTTCACAATCCATTTTTCTCTTACCTGAGTTAAGTGATTCCAGAGCTAAAAAAATATTAAAATTTATGTCTAAAATATGTTTACTTAAGAAAGGGAACTTATTTACAATGGCCTGAGAAAGGACAGCAAAATTGGGTTTATTATGATGCAATTCAAAACAAATTGATTTCTTTGGATAGAATGAAGAATGAGCGTTTTGAGAGACCAGTCTAATATTGTTCAAGGACAAATGCTTAACACGAAGATGCTTGTCTTTCATCAGTTGAAGAGAAAGATATTCTTTAGTTTTGAGATGAAGGAAAATATATAATATTTCCCTAGGGCAATCTGTAAGAACTGCCTGTATCAGTGGAGCAGATGAAGGTGCACAAGTCAGCTTGCTTCCCTCTCCCCTTCCCTTGGCCACTACAGCTCTTCAAACTGCTGTTAGAAGAGTTTTCGATCATGCAAAATGGGTGGCACCTCTCTCTCCATATAATTGAAAAATAATTACTTGGCAGAGCACCAAAAAGGATTAGACCTATTCAGGGATGAGCTCTCAGCTTTATAGCTGATGTCAGATATTCTTTGAGGTGAAACTTGCACATTTTTTTTTAAAAAAATCTCTCCATCCATCCATCCATCCATCCATCCATCCATCCATCCATCCATCCATCCATCCGTCTCCAACTTTAACAGTAAGGCTGAGATTTCATGTGGGAAAACAGTGGACCACAAATAAATCTTTAATATGACATCTTTGCAGAGTGAAATGGAGGCCTAAAGGCATTGTGAGACATAATCTTTGGTTGTTCAACATTTTAATGACTTGACATGAATCTATGAATTTGCATGTGAGTTTAATACAAACAGAAGATCTGTCACAAGTTTTAAACTGTTTATAGTGTTAGAGAATTACTTAATTTGTGAATTAATGTGCAGTTTTGACCTGTCCAATTATACTGTAATGGAAGAACATTAATAATAATAAATTATAACAGAAACCAAATTCTGGGACGACTTTTGACTTTTGGATAATTTGAACATGACTGAAGTTTTTTGTCCTACCTTACATCATCAACAATATAATACTCCCAAGAACCGTTGCAGAGGATAATTAAATTAAAATCCTTCATTAACACCTCTTTCACGTGATGGAGGATGGAATGAAAACCTATTCCTTCCTCTTTTTTGGGACTTTGATTATTTCTGAGAAGATGTTGCGCTCCATGTTCATCTGCACAGATACCTTTCTGAGCTATCTCTCACAAGTTGATTTCCCACTGCGGAGCAGAAATGAGTATTTTGAACTTATGTTCCAGTATTTCTGGTTGTGGCCTAGGAACCAATCAACAATGATGTGAAACAATTAGGAAAATCAAACCAAACCGAGCATGCAACATGGTTTGATTGCACAACTTTGACTTGGACATGAGATACTTACTTGAAACTGAAGAAAACTGCTAGAAAAAGATTCATAAGTGTAACTGTCCAGAAAATAGATTAACAGTTATATAGAAACATGTAGAGAAGGTACACAAATTGCTGAGTCAAAGGACAGGGTTGCCTTGCTTTTTGCAATCCTCTATCGAAGTTAAGACACAGCAGTTAAAACATTCCACAGGTACATGATCCACACATAATGATAAAGTTCTACTGAATTTAATTTGGAGCATTCTTCTAGACTTTGCTCTAACCCAGTGTATGGAATTTTGAATGATTTACCATAGTCCATTACATTCCGAAAGGTTTTAGAATCACTTCAGTTGGTGGTATTGATTATCAATGGTCCTCTGGTCTCTAATTATACAGTGCTCCAGGACTTGACAGCCCTTCTCACCGACAAAACCCAGCTCCACTGTGATAACGGGACAGTCTTTTTGAAAAGCCCTGTTTTCATTAATGTTTTCTCCAGAACAGTATCCACATGCTGTCCTTAGTCATGACTGAATTTCATTTAGAGTGAAAGGATGAAACTTAATATGGTGCAAAGACAAACAGTAAAATTTGTCTTATTTGAAAAAAAATGTAATTTTACTTACAACTTTCATCATAATATACTTACAATTGAACTTGAGTTTACCAGCTTATTTCCAGGCTTTTGCAGAATCCTATCAAGAACAGGTATTATGACCCTACACAGTTATTTCTTCAGCAGATAGCAAGGCATAAGACAAAATAATGCAATATATATAATTTTCCCTTTAAAGTTATATAAAAATGTACACAAATTAATATATTTTTAAGTAAAAATCATACATATGTTTTTATTTGAACTTGTGTTTTCATCGTTTTGAATTCAATAGAATTTGTCACATTGATGCTTCCCTGGGCTGGAGCTGTAAAGAAATGTGTGAGGGAAGATGTAAGTCAATATATGGGAATATACTGCTATCAGAATTTCAGTTGAATTTTCATGATAAAATATTACAAGGCAAATAAAATAAGTAGACATCTGTAATATCTATTGCCTAACCTTCATAACCAGTACTATGCATGGTTTCTTCTTTTTCTGTTTAAATACAAATAATTTAATATTGTTAACAGCAGTAGTAATGTGAGCACACATAACTTTTCAAAAGAGTCTCGAGAACATGAATTAAAGAATTATGGCCTTAGTAATATAATGAAACATGGCCTTTACCTTTTTTTTTGAAAATATAACTTCATACTGTCATGTCTTGTGGAGCTGGGTAAGTTGCTGGCATTAACATCCTGACAAAGCACTTTTCTGTAAAAACTTAACTTACCTTGAAAATGAAAAAAAATGAGAACAGGATTTTCCTGAGATTTTTACCAGCTGTATCCTACCCTATGATAAAAGTTTTGCATTTGAAAATTTTAGTGAACCTTAAAAAAACTAATAATATGCTTATTCCTATTGTTACTGTAGTTGCAATTTCTGGAGATCATGTTAATATTTTTTTCCTATGGTCTGTAAGGCACCTTGCCTTTCAGCAACCTGGGAAATTTTGTATGGGTATCACTCCATAGGAGTTTTATTGAGTAAAATAAAAGTTCAAATTTTTAAGAGAAATGAATGGTTAAAATCAACATATTTCAAAATGGTTATTTTATTTAAGCACTAGGCAGATACCATGCAGTGAGAGAAATAGATGGGATCTGGTGTCTGGGACATCCAAGTAAATGAGGTCATGCTTTCCATTGCATATGTGACAGAAAACACATGGATGGAGGGCTGGAAATGTGGAGAGACATTCAAGGAGCAAAGCAGCATCCATGTGTCCCCACTGAGCAACCAGAACATCACACACTCAGAATCCGTGTGTTTTTTTAAAATGTTGATTCATTTTCAAAAGTGTGTGTTTTCCTTGTCTATACAGAGCATACTGTAAGATGATTCTATTTCTAGACAAACAGATGCCAGTAACTTAATATATTCTTCTTAGGTTTCACATCTTATGCTGTGTTTGTGAAAGTTGTGCCCAGTTCCCCATGATGTTTTTGCTACTGGTGTAGATACTCTAAAAATAACATATGTGAGGGTGATATTCATTTTACATTACCCTGTCATTGGTTGAAATCACATTAATCATGTCTTTGGGTGTTCAAATAAACGTATGTACCTCCTTAGGAGCATTGTTATAAGTTAATATCAACATTCTTTTAACAGAGGCCTCAGTTTTAATGAAAGAAATGTAAGATAACACTTGTGTGTGAGTCTGGGATAGATTTTTGGAAAAGACTAGCTTCTTTCACACAGAAAAGTCTGCTGTGAACAAAAGCACTGATGAGTTACAAATCTTGGCCCCTGAGAACATTGTCTGCATTCCCAACCTTTACTGGGAACTCTCCATTCAAGGAAGAACAGAGGCTGAGATGCTCTGTGCTATTTGCTCTTACTCAACCTGGATAAAATACAGCTTTTGCCCCACAGTGAAAATCTACAGAGAGCAGTGACAGATCCACTGCCTGACTTTGCTGGGAGAATTAATCCCCCACCAAGGAGACTGGTTGGCATGGGGATGTGATTTTTGTACAAGCACTTATCTCATGAGTAAACTGGTGTTATGTTAAATAAACCTTAACAAAAATCTCCCTTGTGTCATTCTCCTACATGGCACAATGTGTATGGCTAAAATTTATTTAACAAAGGTATCTGTCTGTAACCCATCTCTTTGCTGTGTTGCTATAAGCTTCTAATTTAATCGAGGATTTCTAAGTTAACAGCATTTTTTTCACTTAAATAGAAGGTGGTCGTTTAGTGTCTTGAAAATGTCTCACACTAAATTTCTTTCCCTTCAGTTAAGAGATACTTTTTGACATCTTTAATTCAGTGATCTAATAATTTCTGACAGCATCAGTGTGCTTTAGCCATGGCATGCTGGAATGCTACTATTTCTAAAAATGTAAGGGAAAATGGCCATCATTTTTTATAGTCGGAAGAAATAGGAATATATATTTATATTAAAGGCATTTTAAAAGAGTTGAGAAAATGCTGGTTGTCCTTCAGCATCTGTTGTGAGAAAGTCAGATGTTATTTCACAGAATCATAGAATTGTTTAGGTTGGAAAAGACCTTTAAGATCATGAAGTTTAACTGCTAACCCAGCACTGCCACGTCCACCACTAAGCCCGGTTCCTGAGTGCCACATTTGCATGTCTTTTAGATACCTCTAGGGATGGCGACTCAACCACTTCCCTGGGCAGTTTATTCCAGTGTTTGACCACCCTTTCAGGGAAGAAATTGCTCTTAATATGAAATCTAAACCTCTCCTGGCACAACTTGAAGGCTTTTCCTCTTGTCCTGTTGCTTGTTACTTGGAAGAAGAGGCCAAAACCCACCTTGCAACAACTTTCTTTCAGGTAGTTGTAGGGAGCAGTAAGGTCCTCCCTGAGCCTTCTCTGCCCCAGGCTGAACATCCCCAGCTCCCTCAGCTGTCCCTCACAGGACTTGTGTTCCAGACCCTCCACCAGCTCCGTTGTCCCTTCTGGCAGCGATGGGCCCAGAACGGGCACGGCACTGGAGGTGCAGCCTCACCAGTGCTGAGTACAGGGGGACAGTCACTGTCCTGGCCCTGCTGGCCACACTATTGCTGATTCAGGCCAGGACTGGGCACATGCTGGTGCTCAGCTGTCACCCAGCAGCCCCAGGTTCTTTTCCACCAGGCAAATTCCAGCCGCTCTGCCGCCAGCCTGTGCCACTGCCTGGGGTTGTTGTGACCCAAGGGCAGGACCCAGCCCTTCTCCTTGTTGAACCTCACACAGCTGGCCTTGGCCCATCGATCCAGCCTGTCCAGATCCCTCTGCAGAGCCTTCCTACCCTCCAGCAGATCAACACTCCTGCCCAGCTTGGACTTCCCCAGTTACCTAGGGCTGCTGCTAAAGGGGTTTGGTGAGCTATTCTGACAGTTCCCTCAGCACCCTTAGGTGGATCCCATCCAGCTCCATGCATTTGTTTGTTTCTAAGTGATGCAGCAGGTCACTGACTATTTCCCCTTGGATCATGGGGGCTTCATTATGGTCTGTTCCTGACTTCCAGATCAGAGGGGTGGATATTGTAATGGTCTTAGTGTTAAAGACTGAAGCAGGGAGAGCATTAAGTTGCTCATCCTTTGTCACTGTGTTTCCTCCCAAACCCAGTAAAGGCTGGAGATTCTCCTTGGCCCTCCTTTTGTTACTGAGGTATTAAATGAAATATTTCTGTCACTTGCTGAGAACTGCTATCTTAATGATACAGACCTGTGCTTTGTAACAGAGTCTTGAACTTCAAAAAGGTTAGGCTGAAAACACTAGAGTCCTTTTTGGAATTTGAGAAACCCAATTGTGTCAAAATTATGGCAAATTCTACTATTAAAAAAATACCATAGCTAAGAGCTTTCAAGCTGCTTTCTTTCTTTTATTTAATGCAATATTAAGCTATCCTTAAAAATGCTTTTCAAAATCTTGCATAGGGGCAAGGTTTTTTTTTTTCTATGTCAATATCTTGTCTCGTTAGGAGCCTTCCAGTCAGGTATTTTTTGTTCTTTTAGACAGACTATTTTTTCACTATTTGGGCCTAATTTAATTAACTCATGCTTTTAATGAGCAAAGATATCTAATAAGCAAACATGGTTAATGAAACCAAGTCTAACAACATTCCTATCAAGGAAACAAAAATCTGTGCATCAAAGAAAATTCATGAATACATTAGGAACTGGTAATCATCATGATTTCTTGCTCATAAGATCTCTATGTATTTATGATCTCCCAATATGACACCAGAAATCTAATCTTTCCTTGCTTTGCAACACAGTGCACAACTCCTTGTATAAATGCTGAGTAAACGTCGAATTTACACTTTTGTTTACTTGCTACACCACCCTAGATATCAGAAGTTTTAGTAGAGTACAGGGTTCCTATAAAATACATCACAGAGGATTGCCTTCCTTTTTGGAAACCACTGCATTTTGGTGCAGTGATATAATTTTTTTCTGTATTATTCATCTCGTCCAACACACTCCCCCATCCCACTCTCTGTAAAATATCTTTAAAATCAAATCACAGCTCCTAGAAATGTATTTGCAAAGTCTCCTAAAATATTTCTTCCAGAAATGAAAACTGTACCTTACCAAATTTCATAGGCATAGCACTGCTTGTAATTGTACAAGTCTAAATAATTAAATTAGCTCTTGAAAGAAAATTGTAGCCTATTTATTGTGGCAATATGAAATTCTGAGTGTAAAAAGGTACCTCTTACTACAGACTGATTACATAAATTATTGGAAATCAAACTGTTTTACTCATGAGCTCTGTGACAAGGTTGAAGGGGAAATTGTGACATTAATGCCTGTGATGGCATTAGAGCACTCTCCATGCTGTAGTTCATCAGTAGGGCCTGCAGGCTATCTAAAGCAAAGGACTGTAATTTAGCAGCATGTAAGGGGTTTTATGAACACACAGGAGAAGACCTGTGAGAAGACCTGTGCCCATTCCCTTTCTCTCTGCAGCAGCCTCTGAACGGAGCTACTGTCATTCTCTCTCTCCAACAGTCATCATGTGTCTGATCCTCCTAATCTCCACTTAGTATTTTGTGAAGGTTAGTTAAGGATGCAGACTGGAAATATTGGTTATTTTCTAAGCCTTTTAAAATGAAACCTACTTTTTTTTTTTTTTTTTTTTTTTTTATTATTACTAGTATTATTTTTTCCATCTTTCCAAACCCCAGATATTTCTTTTGTATGGTTCCAGGTAACCTAGAATCCACCACTTGTGCCTTGAACTTTCAAAAACCAGCTCTTTCTCACAGGTCTCATAGTCCAGAACCACAGTAAAACTAGTAAAATATATAAATATAAACAATTTCTCCTTTATTTTGTCTTTTGTCTGTAAACAAAACAATTCCAATAGATTTAAGACACACAATCTTGTTTATCTGTGTTTTGTTATTTTTTATTTTAAATTATGAAGCTCTGTTGTCACAATCATAGTTGGGTTATTTTTGTTTTGGTTTTAATTATTTCTTGCATTTAGAATGACCATTAATTGGATTAAGTCTTATTGATCAGTAAGTTTGGATTCATCCTTCAAATTTTTTCTTAAAAGAGCAGTAAAACAAATTTTTTATTTAAACCTCCAATAAAGATTTTAGCAACAGATCATATACTCTGCTTGCATCTCCTTTTAAATGTTCATCTCAATTTTATTAATAAAATCAGATCTCAAAATCACTTAATTTGTTTTGGAGCTGTAGAAACTGAAGAATGGGATGGTGAAATGACTGTCTCAAAATCATCCAGGAGACCAGTGTGAGAGCTAAGAACTCTGATTTCCATGTCCCAGTGCATGGGTAAGACTACCTCCCTATCTCAACTTTTGAGTTGCACGGCAAGTTCATTCTATACTATGGGATTAGTTTGCCTTTATTTTATCAATTTGTTTTAGTGCTGTCTTGAACACATGACTTCAATACAGTCTACTCTATTAGAGCAAGAAGGTGCTTCTGTATTCTCTCTGACAAGTGGCCATGTAAAGTTTAGCTTATCAGCAGCACCTGTAGGCTTCTCAATTTGTTTCTTTAAAACTCTGTGATAATTTAGCCCAAAGTATGACCCATCATATGGATACAGTCTGCCTAACAGTTTTCATAGCCCACAGCCTGTTCCTGCTGCTCTTTTCCAAGTACCCACAAGGCATGAGCAAGGAGTGGGATGGTGATTGAAATCACGGTTTCGCCAGCCTGATGTGTTCCCTGCTTACTTCGTTCCTTCTCTCCACAGCCCCTTCATCAACACATGACTGATGTGCTTCTATCATGTGCCAAAAAAAGACAGCATCCCTCATTAAATTAGGGGTCTGTTTCTGGTCCTGGGAATGCACTGGCCAATGTGTTTAAATGCTGCTTCTGTGCTATGGTGTGGGAAAAATTTTTTTTCTACACTGATTGACTCTTTAATGTCCTTCTTTGATATTGGTTCCTATTGATGTCACCTGGTAGAGTGTCTCTTTTACCTCTTAGATATAGGACACACTATTTTGTGCTCCATTGTTGGCAAAGTGCCTCACATGAGGAATGTGTCTTACTGGATTTGCAAGATACATCCAATATAAAAATGTTTTGTTTGGCTGACTTAAAAGAGAATAATAAATAAAAGTATTAAGTCAGATATCTCATTTAGATTAATATTTCTGTCCAGCTCAGACCACTTTGCTTGCCTTTGTGTTCTTCCAACTAAGCCCTACTTCCTGCAAAAGCAATTCCCTACCTGTATCATGCTTTGACTGCTGGTCTGTCTACTCAGTGCCTCACCTAGGCACACTATTGAAGTATAAAACATAAATAAATATTTTTCTTTCAATGTATTTATTTCAGTAGAAAGCAGGAAAATGCATCTTTTTATTGGATGGCCTACTTTAAAAGATGTTTTATTTTAAAAGAAACTGTGATACATTTTTCAGATTGTGCTTATCCCCTTCCTCAGTCTTCCTGTTTCTTGGAAAGGTTCTCTTTCCCTTAATTCCATTTACCTCTTCACTTGCAAGCTTCTGCAACAGAGGGGAATTGTGTACTGAACCAGGAAACTTCATTTTTGCAAATCAGTTCTGTAAAAAAGAATGGGTTCAGATGTGCACTGAAGTGCTTTCCTGAATTTCATTTCACTGAGAATTTGGTTTCAAGAAACTGTAATATCTTTCCTTTATATATATTACTTTGTTGTAATATATTATAGATGTTCCAATTCCATCAATAAAGTCAAATGATCATTTTAAAGTTAAAACAGAATTGAGATTCAGTATATCTAGACCTTTTCTTCTAATAAGTTTTTTCTCTGGGACTTTGCTATAAATCACTTGTCAAATATGTTTGTATCTGGCACCACAGGCAACTATTTGACATGAACAAGAAACACTTTATAAAACAGCAGGCTTTTTTTCTTATGGCCTCATTTTACCTACATCAATATTCCAGTATTTCTGGAATAGTGATGTGTTTAATTTGCAACTCTCTGGGGAGAACTTTTCGAGCATCCAGAAAATATAATAGAAATCAACTAAGAAATGTAGAATTATTATTTTCCAAAATAATCACCCTTGTTTATAAAGTTGTGTCAAATTTAGAAGATTTGAAGTGACGAATATTTCACAAAAATTGTGTGCAAGAAAACATATTTTGGAACTTAGATGAAGATCAAGATATAGTATTGTTAACATCAGTGTTTTAAAAGAAAAAATATAGTTAATTTACTCATTGGAATGCCTGACAAAGCCTAAAAAATTTTTAACTTTTTCTTAAATGCCTTATCACTTTTCCTGTGATAATGATGGATCTGTGTTGAGATTTTTGAGCCTGTAAGGCCTTTGGGGAATAATTCTGATGACGTTTTCTCATAGAAAAATACACAGATGGAAAGGCTTGTTATGATCACAGTTAGATGAAAACCATCCTAGGGATTTGCAAATGGCAGTTCACGGAAAATATGCATTTTGTTTTGGTGAGTTATTAATTTTTATAGCAATTTCTTCCTTGCTGTTTATTTAAGTGGATTTTTTAAAGTCATAAAATGACAAAAGAACCTTGCTATAGGGGCTGATATTACTGTCATCTTGAATGAAGATGGGACTTCATACTTTTTCATGTCACTGTAGTAACTGAAAAAGACAATGGAAGTAGAAATATACCTTGATGGAGATAAATACTACATCAATGCTGTGGATATGGAATAATGTCAAAGATCTTTTAATCGGGAGTTACTCCCTTAGCACGAAAAATCTGTAGAAAACTTGCAAGCTGCATTGAAATCTGACTTACTGACTTTTGCCAACTGTGAAGAAAACGTATTTTTTCTCTCTTTCTAAAACATAATAAAAAATATGCAATATCTGAAAAGAAGAGATCCTGAGTTTGAAAACAGACTGAAATACTGTGATGATGGAACTTACATCTATAGGAGGGAACATTTAGGATCAGATGTCTAATATGTGATTAGCTGTTAAATAAATGTGAGGAAAACAAGAAAAACATTTGTAACAATTGACACCATTTTAGAAACACATGTTAGGGCATGGAAAGCTAATGAATCTGTGTCTATTGTCCTCAGATGTTTATCACAGTTCTATAAATAAATAACTTTCAAGTAAAAATCTTTACTTGGCCTTTTGTCTGAGGTCTGTACTGAGGTCTGGAGAGGGTAGGCGTTATCAGGAGGCTGAACACCAAAGTCTGAACTTCCCACTGCTTTTGGGACTGCCTCAGTATAGCCAATAAGAAGTGCAATTTCATCAGCATCACCATCACTAGGTAAAATAGTTAGTCTTTGCAGAAGACATGACAACTCTTCTCTTGACAATCTTAGAGCATAACAATAGAGCTCTGGTTCACAGAATCACAGAACCACAGAAGGGCTGATGTTCAAAGGGACCTCTGGAGTTCACCTAAGTGAACCTCCCTCCTCAAGCAGTTCCATGCAGAGCGCGTTGCACACTACTATGTCCACATGGTCTTTGAATATGAACATCCCTTAGTCTCCCTGCACAACCTCTGCTGTGCTTCAGTCACCATCACACAAACCTGCAGCTCCTGTGTTTCAGTTTGTGCCCATTGACTCTGTCACTGGATGCTACTAAAAAGAGTCTGGCTCTGTTTTTGCATCCTCCTCTCACCTATTTACATACATTGATAAGATCCCCTGGAGCCATCTCTTCCCTAGGCTTAACATTTCCAGCACTCCCAGCCTTTTCTCATGGGAAAGATACTGCAGTTCCTAAATCATGATCATAGCCCTTCACTGGACTATTTTCCAGCATGTCCATGTCTCTCTTATACCGAAGAGACCAGAACTGGACTCAATACTTCAGCTGTGGCCCTTCCAGTGTTGAGCATGTCCCTCAGCCTGCTGGCAACACTCCCCCTAAGGCAGCACAGGATATATGATTAGCCTTTGCCACAATGACTATTGTTGACCCATGGTTGATGTGGTCTCCACCAGAACACCCAAATCCTTTTCTACTTTCCACCCTGTCAGTCCCCAGCAAGTACTGGTGCTGGGCTTGTTCTCCTCCAGATACAAGACTTTGCACTTCCCCTTGTTGAACTTCAGGATGCCCCAGTTAGCCCATTTCTCCAGTCAAATCCCTCTGGTGTATCAGCCACTCCCATCACTTTTGTCTAACCATCAAACTCGCTGAGGTTATGCTCTGCCCCACCACCCCAATCATATTGAACAGAATGTACACAGTACCACCCCCTTGGATACACTGCTAGCTACTGGCCTCCACAATGACTTTGTAGCACAGAAATCCATCTGACTGATTCTTCATCCAGCCTGTGGGGGACAGCTTTACTGAAGTCCAGGTGAAAAATATCACCTGCTCTCCCCTTTTCTACCAAGCCAGTCTATTTCACAGAAGGACATCATGTTATTCAAGCTTTGCCTCCAATTTGTGAATCCATGTTTGGCTTTGCCTATGTGCTCTCTTTTGCAGTTCTTCATGCACTGTTATGACAGGGAATTTTAATAATCCCTTTATTCTAAAAATGCCTACGGCCAGTAGCTCAGGCACTTTCCTAAGAAGAGAATTGCCGTAGCCCGAAGAAAATTAAAGAATTAGTAAACAAATTTGATAGTTACTATTAACATTGCTGTATTTAACAGATTTTAAGGTATTAATAAACAATTAGAAAGGCATTATGCTACCATCCATATATATAAATACATTATATAATTTTTAATTCAATAAGCTCTTTTTACATACTAATTCTATATAAGTCAAATTTCCAGGGGCTCTGAGAAGGTATTTGGTACACTTGGTTCTTTGACTGAAAAATAAGTACAAAGCTATCTTGAGCCACAAGCAGGTCATTTAAAGTATTCTTTCAACTTTTCATTTAATAATATGCATTGAGCATCAGCTGAAAACCCCTGTTTCTAAATAAAACTGATGTTTGAAGTACTTGCAGTCAATTTGCCTGCTAATCTATTCCATCTCCAAGCCAAACCCTTCACTGGAATTTTCGAAGTGAGTTAATGTGATGGTTTACATTATTTTCAGAAAGGACAGCGTGATATTTTTAGGACTGTGAATTAAGCTTATGGGGTGCCAGTCTTTTGGATTTCATTTGGACAGACTGTGCTATCTTCCATAAAAGTCCCACAAGCTAAAATTCTTTTGTCATAGGATCTGCTGTCATTTCCCCAGCAACAAAATCTCATTATGAATGACTGATGACTGTATGATGTGTAGTATATTACTAGAATTAGCATATTAGTGTTAAGTACTGTGAGATATAATGAATATGCACAAGTTTGTCCAGTTCAGTGTCAGACAAATAGTGATCCCTGTTCAGGTAACTCTCACCCATAAACTCTGCTAGGTTAAATCCAGGGTTTACAGTTGTTTTGCATAAAAGAATGATAACTTGAGGGTGGGTAAAAAATAAAAAGTGGACATTGTGCTATTTTTCCGCCCCAGTGGAATAGCCTATATGATGTTTGATGAATGAACCAATAATTTCTGATATTTTGCTGGAGAAAAATGTGAGCTCTATATAGGCCAAACAGGATTATCTTCTTAATGACAACAATTTGCATTATTTTAATAGGATTTATTCTGAGTGATTTGTAGTGGAGAATGAAAGAAACATCCTGGCTAATTCAACAAGATATTCCCTGAATGAGTTCATGGGGTTATATGTAATACTGGCATTATATAGGCACTGCTGTGAAACAAGGCTGAATTCAATGGCAGAAGCTAGAAGAATCATGGAGGAATTGTTTCAGTCCTTTTGAACACAAGCCAACATTTTGTTTGTGAAAAGAAATCCTTGTTTTTTGCTTTAGAGAAGACAAGGAGAAACAAAGGTTAGAAAATATGTTCTCTTGTGAGGAGCAGAATTCAGCATCTACAGGGTGCAGAGAGGGCTGGTTCTGCCCCAAAGGCAGAGTCTGGCTGACAGCCTCCTATTGCTGCTGTTGACTTCTCCACAGAGACAGAAAATAGGGTTGGGGAACACAGGACTCAAAAATTTTACTGCAACTGATTAAATTAATGATACCTTAGACTAGCCCTCTGCATACCAAATAAGGTTGAAGTATTTCAGAACTTTCTGGTTAGAAGGGTCTAGTGGAAATGCACATTACCAGGAGAAATCTTGGCTCAAGAGTGATGCCCAACTGCCTGGCTGCCCAGAAGCTGCTCTGTCAACCTATGTGGTGAAGGTGAGGTGGCGATGCAAAAAGTCTCCACTATCAATATAAAAAGCAATGCAATAAAGAAAATATGCAGCTTAATGATAACAGTATTTCAGATGTCATTTCATGCTTGGTGCATACCCACACAGAGGCTGTCTTTGCATAACTTAGGCCAATATCTTCAAGTTGTGCCAAAAAGCACATGCTACTTAGGAGCTTTGTGCTGGGGATGAGTAGGCTGCATAGTAAAACAGCTAACCAGATAGCCTTAACTACAAAACCTTGTTAATTTGTGAACTATCATGCTCTTTTACACTTTTCTTATGTTTTATACGTTTTATGTTTAATGCATTTTTAAAGATAAAGATCGAGACCAACATTTAACACAGTATCACATGGTGTAATGTTATTACTAACTAAAATAAATTGAAATTATGTGATTGAAGAAACTATTCTAGAGAACTAAAGCTGAAGGCATTCTGGTATAAGCTCCTCCAGCTGTCTCTATAATCTGATCACAAAAGAATGCAAATATTGAGCTGTGTTAATTTGAACAGAAATATGATCTGCATTACACTTTTCAGCATTTGAATAACTGACAACTATTTGTTTTGATTGGATATATCAAACTGAAAGAAACATCAGTATGAAATACAAGCCTTTAAAACTAACTCTATGTCTTAAGTTACTGTAAGACATGACTGGCAGCTGGCTGACTCTGAAATCCCCAGAGGAAGTTTTCCTTCAGAAGTAATCTTAACAACTGTATCACTGAAGTGTAGCAATAATCAAGAATGATATTTTCATAGATTATCTCCTGTTGTTTGATAACCAGACAAAGTGTTCATGCCTTGATTGGGACCTACTGAAGAACTACAGGACAATTAAATATTCAAAGATGTTACATCAATATTCCGTATTCCCTGACCATCATACAGTTTTATTCACTGTAAAGAAAAAAGGATTCAGGGAACAGTCTTGAGTTACTTTCACAAAAGCAAAGAGAAAATACTATGAAAGGGTAAGCTCCTGAATGGAGCTAACCTGTCAGGTGTTTTGGATATGGCCCAGAGTATCACAGACTATGATGGTGCCAGCAATTTTGCACAAAGAAACAAGTTTTTCAAAATTGCTGAAAGAAATAATGTTGACACTTCCTTTTATTATTGGATGATAAGGAAAAATACATCTTGTAGAATGCAAGAAGGAAAATGATTGCTTGGACTAGTGAAAATGCCCCTTTCTTGGTTAAGACAGAAACTCTGTTGATAAAAGAGGCCATTAGGACTGTCTTAATTCATCAAGAGAGGGCAGGGCAAAATTACAAATAAGAATAGGAACATTGTTGTAGGAATGTGGATGGCTTGTCTGATTGAATTCTGAATTCATTGCACCTCTTCAAATAAGCTGAAAAACTCCACCTTCCCATCAGTTTCATCTTTTAATCTAAAAACATTACCTTTTTTTTTCACCCCATGTATTATTTACCTCAATAATAACTTGTTTTAGTGCTTCTCAAAAGAGTCCATATTGGAGCTAAAAATGCTCTGAATTACTAAAAAGTATATTCTGTACTTCTATTTGGCTAAAAAGAAAGCAGCCACATCAGCCAAATTATATCAACGAAATTAGACTACTGAAGAAGGTGAAATTCATGACACCGAGAAATGATGCTCCTGTACAGGAGATATTACAGTAAAGGAGCCTGAGAGGGCTAAACCCATGAATCACACATTCTTCATGTTGAAGAGCATGAACCACCTCTTAGAATGAATAAGACTCTATGAGCTGGCCTGAAAGCTAAAAATATTACTTGTATCTCAACCTTTAGCTAGAGGTCATTTTGGGCTGATCTGGTGAGTTTTTAAGGCATAAATTTCTTGTACTTCTCCTAATGTACTCAGAATAGCATAAACAATCCTGTAATTCCACTGGCATAGAGGCTTAACTGACATGAAGTAAGGACTTGCGTCACAAAATACAATTGCATATTAGTAGCAGAATCCTTTGCGAGGAGTCAGCAGAAACAACTATGAAAATCTGAGTTTGCAACAGAATTGTGACAAGACTGAGCTAGCTGTTACCTCTTGAAAATATTAATTCCAGGTTCTCACTCTTCAGTTTGCTTGTTTCCTGTTTCCTTCAAGAACTATTTTAGGTAATGCAGCTCTCTGCTGTTTGCTTTAGCTAAAACAGAGATCCCAAGAATTATGAGAAAACCCAGAATTTGACATGATCAGTCAAACGACCTAAATGGTGGGGTTTGGGTCTGCTGCTCCTCTTGGATGCCATTTATACTTGCATGATCTCCCCATTACCACTGCTTCATGTGTGTCCACAGTACATCACACTTGCATCAGGAGTCCTCTCTAATCCCACATTTTACATTTGTAGACAGGTGAGGAAATTATATTTTGGTTTGACAGGACTTCATCCTTGAGATGTCGGTCCAGATCATATTTTTTACTCCATGAAACTGCTTTCCTTGGCTAAACTGCAGGCAGCCATTTAAGACTGTACCAGAGCCACTGACAGTAACACAAAACATGCTCAGTGCATCCTCTGTGGGCTGGGTTTCTTTTTTCAAAGCTGAACAGGGCACTTATACCCTCTGTCCTTGGGCAGGATGAGGTAGCTGTGTAAATCAAGTATCATTAAGTAGCAGTAGTGATGTCTTCTTACACAGAACAGGAGGTGCAATCATGCAACGTGGGAGCTACTTTGGTTTTAGCTGCAGATGCAAGCAGGGACTGCACAAAGCACAAAAAGAAGAATCAACGAGAAAGGTATGATAAAGTCTAGTGCCATTGAGTGTGACAGTGGCATAAAAAATGTAGGACAGAAGACATCTGTGATGTCTCTTTGTGCCTATACTACTAAGGATACCTTTCAAAAGCCTGCCAGTAAACAGATATTCACATTTTTCAGAGTTGTAAGGATGCATGTAAAAAAATTATTTGTTTCATCATATCTGTGAAAATGGTTCATTTTTAATGGTAGTATTTTAAATAATGAATCCCTTTCAGAGCAGGGAATAAGCAAAGGCATTTTCCATTTGGTTATTCATCTTCTTTATTTGGAACTGCCATGTAGGAATTCAAATTAAATTAATCTAAAGTGACTGTTTTTTAATATAGAACGATATAAAGTACACATATAAAATGATTCTCCTTATGGTTTATGAACACATAATCCATGTCAGAATGATGCTAATTCTATATTTCTGCAGCTATCTTACATCTTTGCCTTCAGTTGTTAGCTTGAGAAAAAAATTAATTTGTTTTCCCAGTATGATTTCAAATTAAATATTAAGTAGTAGATTTATCAGAGAACTTAATGTGTTGTTTCCAAACAGTCTCCTTTTGCTTGAAACAAATTTAATGCAGGAACAGAAAAATGTATATTAGTCATCAAAAGCTTTTTATAGATGACTTTAAAGTGCTGATACTTTAGTTGATACTAAAGGATTCTTATGATGCAGACTAAATTTCAGACCAATAGTGCAGAACAGAATTAATGGAAGATGTATTAAACAGCCAGAGGTAACTGAAAATGAGGAAAGGTAAAAATTCAAATTTGGTTTATGATAGAAATCCAATATAAACATTTATCTTGGGGTGATCCAAAACCAACTTTTGATATTGAGGCCAAAAATTAAAAAATGACTGCTTAGTTTAGGTAAGTGAGATTCTGAATATGTCAGATTTTTAAACTTGGAAACAATCCTAACTTCAAATGTTACTACATCAGTGCAGTCTCCTAGTATGAAGAGTGAAAGTTGATTTTGTTGCAGGTTGTTTTTCCATGTTTTTTTTTGTTGTTGTTGTTGGTGGTGGTGGTGGTGGTGGTTTTTGGTGGATGAGACATAAAAACTGTGTCTGGGCTAAATGTGGATATCCTTTGCACTGGAACTCAAGGTCTCTCTCCCTTAATCCTTTGCCTCAAGGGATCTGACAGGCTGCTCAGTAGTTTCCTTATAGCCTCTGAATTAAGATCTATGCCTTTGGCACAAGATAGATGAGAATTTTCTGAGGCTTTAAACCCATTAATATCCTTCTAAGAGTGGAGCTAGCCTCATGGTCTCCTTTCAACCCAGCACTGTCTTCTATAAAACAAGTCTAACAGTCACCATGCCTGCTCAGGGAGAAGGAGCCTCAAGTTTCAGGCTCTCTTCAGTCTCAGTGATACTAGCCCCACACAGACCAAAGGCAGAGCTGGAGAAAATTCCTCATTCTTCTCACTCTTTATCAATTTCATATTCAACCAGGACTGGATGGAAAACAACACATTCTCTCCCTCTCAGCCATCTGTGACAGATACTGCCAAGGCCAGGAATCTGAATTAGGATTTCTCCTCCTGCAGTTGTAATACTGTGTTTAGTACTGAAATAAACTGTTGCCACTCTGCATTCAGCTTGGCCTAAACCTGCATAATGGAGAAGGCCTGGGAAGGACATGGACAGTTTGTCTGTGAGTCTTAACTGGGAAAGGATGTGAGACACACACCTGTTTTTTTAGTCTAAGCAGCATCATTGTAGTTTGAATATTGTGTTTGCAAAATATTAGCATTGCTGTTTTGGTTTTTTTATCATCATCAAAAACATGAAAATGAAAGTGTTGATAGATCTTCTATTGCCTAAGGACCCAGGCATAGGGCTGCACCATTAGGATGAAGTGCTTCAGTTCCACTGACATCCAATGTCATGTGTCCTTATGCTTTGTGGGTCTGCACTAGCTCCTCCTTGAGCGCCATAAGACACCCGGGCAAGTTTTGTGATCATGAGTTCATCAGCAGCTGGAACGTAGCTCTACAGCCTAGACTAATACTCAGCAAAATTCAGATCCCTCTGCTTAAATTCTGTGTCAGCAGTTGCTTGTTAAAACATCAGAATTCCCAGACTTTGCCTACTGTTTTTGTACTGAGCAAAAAGCTACACTACCTATACAGTACTGCTATGAATTTATAGCTTGCAGAGCTCTTTGAAATCTTTTGGGATAAAAAATCCTCTGTAAATGTGGGTATTTTATCAGTGTGCAAGTGAGAAAATATATTTAAGTACAAAGTAAATACCTTAAGGGTGCTAAGCAAAGGTTAACTATCACTGCCAGTCAAGCTGAGACAGTGACAAATGACCTGAAAGAGGGACATGCTCTAAGGGCAAGAGAAGATGCTCTAAGGTTGCATGAAGTATTGAAAACAGACCCTTGAGGCCTTTTGTTTTACAGGGTCTTTCTTATGCATGGGAGTGATACCACCAAGAGGGTGATATGCTTGTTCCTCCCTCAGAATCCTCACGGCCAAAGAACATCAAAACACATTAAAGATCTCATAGAACTATGGGGAGTGTTTGCCAGTAAAGATAAAGTTGAGAACCCAAAGAGTTTTGTAGGATGTGAATTATAAATGGTCCTTTGTGGGTTTTACATCTAATGTCTCTATTCAAAAATGTATTGAATGTAAGCAAATTAGATAGGGATCCAGCATTTATTATAGTGATGCTTTCTTGTGGAGGACAAACCTCTCTCATCAACTAAAGGCTTTGCCAGAATTGCTATTATATTTAATGAACCAGAAAATAATATACAGCCAGGTTAATATTCTTCCAAAAAATTCTATTATAGGCCACAGCAAGGGGAAAAGACACTGTATCAGTGACATGTGGTGGGAGGTCAATTACTGTGCAAAATCATTTCACCAGCTTATATTTAGTGCTCAAAACTTCATCTGGCTTGCACTAATTGGAAGGCAGCCTGCATGTGAAATGCCCTCAGAAATGCAGGGATGCTTGCAGTGGGTTACTGCATTGCAAATGTTATCTTTTGCATTTTTGCCATTTCCAAACTAACAAACGCTGATGGCTTTGCCCTTTTAGTTATAATAATGTGCTGCAAAACCCCAACAATGCCCTCACTAGGGACTAAGTTATTTTAATGGAGAAATGTAATTAGGATTAGCCCCCATTCCTCAGTTTTGCAAGCTGGTGCACTTCTGACTGCGTGCTGAGATATTATGGAAAAATACACTTTTCCCAAAAAGGAGAGCTTGACTAAACATGTGAAATATTAAATGGTTTAGAACAATTTGTACTAATAAGGTTAGAAAGTAATTCTGCTGATACAAATTATTAAAGTAGGGTATGATAAATATATGGTTCAGATAAATACCAAGATCTAAGATGATTATCTAATCTGACCTTCTCTGTTTCTTTTGTTCACCTGGCACTGAACGGCAGTGATAGCAATGAGGGGCCAAGCCATAGGATCCTTTCTTTAAGTTAGACTGTTTTTACAATCTTTTATTATTGTGGAACCCCTCAGCCCCAACAGGACTCCAGTATTAAAACACTACATTTATAACCCTCCCTGTGAACACATGAACCCAGTAAGGGACTTTGTTACGAGTTGCTGTTTGATCAGCCCTTCTGCTGACCTGTACCAGGCTGATCTTTCAGCTAAACTAATTCTTTTTTGGTAGATGGAATTAAGCAATAGCCTCAAATAAAAAAAGTTCCTCCAGTCTTTCAAGCTTAATAGTCTTTGCACAAATTTGTTTTAAGTACTTCTCTCTGGTTTTCTAAATCTTGATCAATTTTTCACACTTCCTCAGCCAGAAATTGGTCACAGTATTCTGGTAGCAGCCACATCCATACTGAATGTGAAAGTGAGATGGTCTCTTTATTCCTTTTCCACATGGCTTTGTCTAAATACTGAAGGATTTCATTTAGTCCCTTCAGCCATAACTGTGCTCTGAGAACTGGTGTCTGCTGATTACCTGGGCAGTAAGTCATCATCAGAGTGATTAGTCATTAGTACAGAGCTCCTGATATTTAAGTATGAGCCAATAAACTGAACAGAAATGCCTACTGTTTGCTTGTGCCTGTTCAAAAACACAATCCAAATTCTACCAGTGATCTGTCAGCCTCATTGTTTACTGCTCCCTCATGGTTTACTGCTCCCTCTATTCCTGCACACTTTCTCCATCATGATTTGTTTTATTTCCATGTCACTGATAAAAATTGAAATCATCTGAGACCAAGAATAAACCCTTGAAGGGTGTGGTAATATTTTCTATTTGATGAAATTTGAGAGTCTACAGTGTCACACTGTCAGTGCAGTTTCAATAGCTTTAATCAGTTAATTTTGTATCCTGTTTCTTAAGCACAAGGTTGTGCAAGTCTAGGTCAAGTGATGTACCTAAGTGCAAGTATGTCACACTTGCGATTTTTAATTGAGTAAGAAGTATTGGAGTATGGGTCACTTAATTTTTTAAAATTGGAATTAATCATTCATTAATCCTATCATGAATCCCATCATTGGGACTAATTATTGTATAGGATTTTCTATCTATTCTTTATCTACCCTGATATTGATACCAGGCTAATCAGTTGCAACTTAAGAGAACACTTAGAATTATCCACCCAGCATAAACTCTTTTTACAGACTGTGGGCCAAGATTATTAGCAATTATTTTAGAGACCATCAGGTAGGCTATAATCCAGTGCAGACATCTCTTAGCAAAGAGTTGTAATCTCCTAAGATATTATTCCAAATCCTTTAATGCTTGGTCTCCCTTTGGTTTTCAGCCTTCCCCAGGAGAGGATTTTATGGATTTTGATAGATCGTGATAGAACAGGGCAGAAAGTCAGCAGAGTGTTTCTGGACCTGCTTATCAATGAACTCTCACTGTGCTCAGTTCATAGGTGTTCCTGGTTGCCCTCTGTGTAGGCCTGTTAATTTGATACACTCCCTAATGATATGTTGACACTCCTCTGAATCAACAAGTATGAAATAGTTGTCTTATCTTTAGCCATTCCAATGCCTAAATTATGGTCATTTTGATGGTCATTTTGGTTAAGTCAAGGGTAAAGAGTCATTGACTTTGCTGGCAGTGTGCCCAGATGATACTCCACATCCTCAACTGTATATTGATTTCACTACATCATAGAATGATAGAATATGGTGAGTTGAGAGGTACCCATCAGGATCACTCAGTCTAACTCCTAATATCAGAGGATATATGGCAAATAAAGACTTAGCCTATAATGGGTAAACATCCAAATAATTGAGTTTTCTTCTTTCTTTTTAAAAAAAGTAATGCCATTCTATTTCTAAAGAAAAGCTGTAAATTGTTCTAAATTTAATAGATTTATTATTAATCTTTCACCTCATGTATCCCTAAAGTGTTAGATGCCCATATTTTCTAGCAAAATGAAAGTTTAATTTATTAACTATACTTAGAATTGTACTTAATTTTGGTGTGTTGAGGATCTCAAGATTAAATTCAGTGAGGCCAATTCAATTAGATATACTGCAGACCTCAGTGAAGATGTCAGCTTCTGGAGAACATAGTTATTAATCACTATGAGCCACATCTTGTCCTTTGAGTTAGCTAAATACACACATAGAGCTGGACTTAAACTGATGTTCTTGAGGACAAGACCTTCCACTCCTTTAGTGATTAAGCAATGATAACAATGCTATCGGTGAGAAATTAGTTAAGACAAATTTGACTATCCAAGCCTGAAAGGAACATTGTAAAGACTTTGTGTCTGCAGGTATTCAGCTAGAAAAAAAATCCTAAAGATCTCAAGTCATAACGCTAGCATCCACCAAAATGCATCTGGATGATAGAGATAATTTCATAAACATTGGGAAGAAAAAAAGTAACTCCTAAAAGTGATTTCTCATCAATGGTTTCTTCTTTGGCAATCCTATCTGAACGGACTCTCAGAAATAAGTTTAATTGTTTGTCAGTGTATTTGTACAATGAATAATAATGCACAGTGAGAATGACAGTGAAGAAATCTTCATCTTGCAAAGAGAAGAGTTCCCATTTAGAGTTTTTAGATAAATTTTAAAGGAAAGAGTAAAATAAGTAAACTTTGGAATGCTATTTATATTAGATTTAGATTATCTAACAAAACACTGAAATAAAAACAAGCAACTCAGGTCTCTGACCTATTTTTACTTTAGGACACAGATAAAGGGCCATATCTTCTTCATATGTTATCTTTCAAAAGCAGCTCTAATCCATGGTCCTAAAATCAGATCCTTTCACTTACCCAACATGTGCTGGAAACATTGTATTCCAATTTTATTCCAGCTTGTATTCTGTGAAGAAAAGGTATTTGAATTACAGCTGCTGTCTTATAAATTTTACCAAATAAAATATTGGGGAAATTCAGTTTGTTAAGGGAAAAACCGCTTCTAAGAATGATCTTGCTACACATATATGCAGATCAGCCAAGCTGACCCATGCTATCCATTTGGATCTGAAATGAAATTAAAACATGCTATTAAACTTGGCCATCTGCACTAAGGACACCAAGGGAACCTACCAATTATTATTAGCTCTATCATATACTGCAGTGTTGGCATCAGTATTTCATAACTAGCCTCAGAGAGTAAAATGTATAATAATTTCTTTTTCCTCCTACTTGCACAACAGTCAACTGCCTAGGATACTTATAGGAATTTGAATCTTGTAGTGCCAAGCTAAACTTTTTCTCTGATCAACAAAGAGAGGATAGTAGATCTTATGTGTTATTCTTTACTTTGGATTTCCTTTCCCATATATGTATCAGTCCTGCAAACATTTATGCAGATAAAAAATTTTTATGTTTTCCATAACCTAAATTCAATTGATGAAATATTTTCAGAATTTTCCAATATTTCTAGATGCTTGCTTAGCTGCTGCTTATTATTAGCAAGATAGAAAAAAAAGGAAACTTTTCCCCTTTCTTCATAGTACATTTTGGCTTCATTTAGTGCCCCAAAAACCATAGAGAAGCTCTCACAGGCTTAGATATATACTGGCTCAAACCCTGAGGGAATAATTCAGGAGTTCTGTTTCTATGATCAGACATTCACTCACATGAGGATCACTGCTTCTCTTTTGCTGCCATTTTTGTTTGTTTTGATCCATTCCCTTTAGTCTGCTGGTATTCAAATAACCTTTCTTTCATCTACAGCAATACAAGTTATTTATTCCCAAGTCATCATTTCAGTTCTTTTCAAAACTGGCAGCTACTATCCTGATAACATTGAACTGCACTATGAGTTCTCAGCAGGAAGAGCCCCAGCACCAGCACGGGCTGGGGGCTGACTGGCTGGAAAGCTGCTTTGCAGAAAAGGCCCTTGGGATCCTTGTGGACCCCAAATTGAACATGGGCCAGCAATAAGCTCCTGCAGAAAACAGCATCCAGAGCTTCTCTAGGAGAATCCTTGTCAGCAGGATAAAGGAAGTAATCCTTCCTGTCTACCCATAACCGGAGAGATACATCTGGCATGCTGGGTCCAGGTCTGGGCTCCTCATTACAAGAGACACGGACATACAGCAGACAGTTCAACAAAGAGCCACAAAGACAATTAAGGGTTTGGAACACCTGACATATAGGGAGAGGCTGGGAGAGATGCTTAAGGGGGGATCTTATCAGTGTGTATAAATGCCTCAGGCATGGGGGAGTAAAGGAGTCAGAGTCAGACTCTTCACTGTGTCAGGATGAAGATCAATAGGCATAAACTGAAAATCAGGAGATACAACTTAAAAATAAGAAAAAACTTTATTGTCATAAGGGTTGTCAAAGCAAGGAACAATGTGCCCAAGCAGGTTGTGGAACTCCCATCCTTGGAGGCACTCAGAACCTTACTGAACATGGCTCTAAGCAACCTTCTATAGCTGACCCTTTGTGGAGCAAATGCTTGCACTAGATAATCTCCAAAGGTTCCTTCTAACCTCATATTTTCCATCATTTACTTTAATAGAAAACTACTTTGTGGAGAAGGTATTGGAATGATTCTTATTGAATCCAATTCAATGCATGCATATTACTGAGAATAATATTTGCCATCAGAAATAGCAATGATGGGTTGTTACTGTATTTGCAAGACTCAGCCTTTTATAAACTCAAAAAATTAAATTCTAACAAGTCCATGCATTCAATTAAGTGTTGTGGCCTGTTCTTTAAAAGAGCTTAGTACAACACAACATTCTGTATACACTTCACTGCTTAGACAGGTTTGATGGAAGGTGGGAATAAATAATTTAAGTTCTTTTAAAAATATGCATAAGTACATCACAGAGAATATAAAAACTTCAAAAAAGGCGATATTATTATTTAATGCCTTGTTGATGAGGTTTATTTTGGTAAGCTTTTGACAGCACAAGGTAACATATCATCCTTGCGTTGACACAAACACTATCAAAATATGAAAGGATGTACAGCAGAAAAAGAACTCCATCTAAAATAGATTTTTGAGAGACCAAATGATTTTTTCCTTCCCAATACTTAGATTTTGTTGTTATTGTTGTAAGAATGCTGCCAAATGCCTTTAAGCAAAATTAAAAAGTATTTTTGTTGCGGTAGGTCACTCTTTCCAGGCCTATTTAAAATTCTCACTTCTTTTCCGCCTTCCATTCAATACTGGAAAATATTTCCTGGCATTTGAGATGGGGATGAATTTCTTTATTTTTCCTTTTTTTTTTTTTTTTTTTTTTTTCTTTTCTGTATAACTGCTTTCATTGCTCACTACACTGTGTATACTGTGTACATTTTTACATTGGAGACCAAGGCCTTTTCCTATTTTCCCCTCTATTTTTTCTTTGCTTTGTGTGCAATGAGCAAACTCTCTCTCTGAGAGCTCCAGAGGGCAGTGTTGTGCTGAAAGCATCGGTTCTCTTGGCTCTGCCTGGGTATTTTTTGGGAACCAGAAGGCTGAATGTTATTTACTGAATGTTATTTACAGACTTGCTTGAATGGCTTAAGTCTTAATTCACAATTGCCTTGGATATACACACTTTATGGTTGGGATCCTTGCAACAAACAAATTAGCTGACTTTGTGAACATACTATGATGTTCAAGGTTTTTCAAATGCTATTAGATGAAATCAATTAAAAAAATAGAGGTAAAAATATCAGTAATCTTAAATAATGCTATGCCAGATCCTCCATGAAGGTTCAATGGGCTGGAATATTAATTTCCCTCCTTGTATAATACTGCAAGGAAAGGAGGAAAGAAGTCATCCCCATGAGGGTGCAAGGCAATGCACAACTTCTCCCTCAGGAGTTCTGCAAAAGAGCAGTTTTCAGTTCCAGTTAAGGCCTCTCAGGAGCACACTGTGAGAAAGACTGCAGGGAAAGCATCAAACTACACATCTCCTTCAAGTTTTGTCTCACACATTCTCTCCTACTTCTCCTGCCTCAATGAGGTGTACACCAGAATTGCTACAGATCTGGACAAAGCCAGGATCACAGGTCCAACCGCCACTGCCCTCCAGACTTCTTGAAAATTTTTTCTCATTTTTTTCTCATTTTTCAGGCATGTTTCACATGTCATATGCATCTTAACTGTATGATGCACAGAATGGCTACTAACAAAGGGTTACATTCCAGCAGCCTTTCAAACTACCACACTCTCCCACTCAGATCCACATGTGTACCTGTCCATGCATTTCTTTTACTCCTTGCCCCTAAAATCCCATGTTTCTTGTCATCTGTCCACATCATCTCTCTTTTCTGACCACCCACACTGCTCCCAGGTACTCTGCCTTCTGACACTCTAGTTCCTGTCATCTGTATGTCCTCCTCTTTCAGCATAAAGTCCAATGTCCACTATCTCCTGCTACAGTTCTTCCCTTTGTCCTCCTTGCAGTGACCATGGTTTATTCTTTCTTTGGTCCTCAGAGAAAACTCTGCTCAGGGTGCTACATGGGTTAGAAGGCATGAGCAATGACAACAAAGCTAGTTCTAACTCATCAACCAGTTACCTAAGGACATCCTATGCCACCACAGCTCTCAAGTACAGAAGCACTTGTTTACCCCCTCAGGCTGTAGAAATCACCTTGTGAGCTGTGTGTGGCTCACAGCCATAGCTTGAACTGTTTGGATGCAAGCCTGAATTCAGGAGAACGCTTCCAAGAGCTGGCACACTAACTTTTTTAAGCATGCCCTTTAAGCAGTAGTAATTGAACAGGCATAACCCCCATAGCACGGCTTGAACCCACCAGACATCCCAGAATACCAGTCTGCTTGGATCCTTCACAGATTATGTGTATGGGAAGGTACTATGGGATGGTCGTTGGCAGCTGAAATGAGGACCTGTGACAAGGGGCATAGAATATTTTGCACTTTAGGTTGCTCTTGAGCCCCCATGCCACTGAACATTGAAGATAGACTAAAGAGTGCGTGTTGCAAATCTTTACAGATTCACGTGGTGCTGGCAGGGTAAATCACTGGGGGTAAATCACTGGGGCATGAACTCTGCCTTCCTACAGTGAGACACTTGGCAGCAAACATGGGGGGCATCATGCAGAGAGAGCTCAGGACATTATTATTTTCTTGTTGAATTTTTGTTGAATAGGGACAAATATGATTTGGTTCTTCAATTGGTGTCCTCTAGAACTCATTGTCTTAAGGCTGTATCAAATGGAAAAGGAGGAAGGATAAAATAAAGTGTTGGGCAATACTTGAGCAGATCAAGTGCCGATAGGACATTGCCATATAAATACTTCAACCCTATATCTCCAGCAGCAAAATGTTCCAAGTCTGCTTTTATATTCTCTTTCCTGGCAGAAGTCTCTGCCCTATGGTACTACTGAATTCTATTTGGATTTTAAGAATCTACTAGGAGGTGTCACTTGCACCACACATGTGACATGGGTGCCTTGTGGGTATCTACAATAGCCTCATTAACATGAACAGCTATTGACAAGGTGCTTGGAACTGCTCACAAGTGAAGTAGATTTTCCACATCCTCATGAGACGGAGAAATATATCACTCTTTAAAACTGCTCATACAGCACAAGCAGGCTTTGCTATTAGCTCTGTCGATAAACATATCTCAGGATTTGTGACTTGAAGACAGTGATGCTCCATGCCGAGAAAAGGGAGTGGAAAAGAAAATGTTGCCATCTGTTTGTGTAGAAGTTTAAATTCATGCACCAGATCTCCTGCACTGTGAAAGATGAGTCTTCTCTTTTTCTTACAGTCTTGAGAGTTGAGGCAGCGAGACCTGAAAATAGACTGAAAGGGTGTTCACCATCAAGCTTCAGCCTCTGATTCAGATGCCTACTTTGAAAGCCTCCAGAAATCACAGAACCTCTCTCCAAAAATAGCAATCAAACCATCATCCTGTTTGCTGAAGTTGCACTGACATTCAAGGGAAGCTGGGTTGCTCATGTGAACTCTCAAGGGACACACCACATCTCCACAGTGCTACTCTTTCTACAGGGTCATTATGGGTCACCCAGGTTTGGATTATAACACTATATTGTTATGATAAAATTTCAAATATAAAGGTTTTTAAATGATATTGCTAAAATTCACCTGAATGACAACATTGCTGCCTGACAGAGGTAAATTTAAAAAAGCTCAGGTATCAATACTTGTTTTTATTTATAATAATTTGTGGTAACCCAGATATAGAATTGCCTAGACAACTGTGATTTAATCATGTGCAACTGCCAGCTTGCATTTTTGCAGGCACATCTACCCTGACAAAGGTTTTTAATATTTAAAATCATGCAGATTATCTATCCAGCCCTCAGAAAACTCATTGTGATTAATTCAGTATCTCAGTTTCAGGCACTTCAACTTCTGACACCTTTCTTCAGGCTACAGAGAGTTTTATTAATTGTACTAAAATTCCTGTGCAAATATTTTAAAAATATTATTTAGTACTCAGTTAATTTTTTTATATGAGTGCGTTATCATCTATCAATGCTGTCACAAATCTCTAGATCTCAGAAGAATTTTTTACTCTGCTTTTAAAACACAATTTTATTCTAGGAGCCTCTGTTTATGTACATTTATCAGTCATGTGCACTCAGAAATGCTTATATCACATCTGAGGTCAGGAATTCAGCTGCATTTAAATTATATGCCAGATGGATGGGCAATGCATACATTTCAGTTCTTTGACAACTTAATGAACATATCTCTTGGCAAGATGAGGTTATCTGAACATCCCAAATCATCTGCCACATTTGTCTCCAAACTTTCGGGCTGTAGTCTACAGTCAGCAATGAAAGCTGACCCCCTCACTGCCTCAATGAACTTTAACTGAAAAAACAATTATTTGCATTCTAGTGCAGCATCTTAAATTGGCCTTGTCAAGTAAAGGGGATAAATCCTGATTTATAATGAGTTTCAGAAATCTAGAAACTTTATGTAACTAAATCTTTCACCCTTCAAGTAAATTTTTTTGTTAGCCATTTAACTGGAAACTATGAAGGAAAAAAGTTTTTAGCACACATCTTCAAGCCGACAATTAATCTGGTTGCCTCATTTTTGAAAGACTACCTGCAAGTACTGTTGTCTCTAATCTTAGAGTGGTCAGGAAACAGAACTTTAATTAATATTTTCTGTTTCTCAGCAAGGAAAAGTCTGAGACACGTAAGTTGAAATTTCCTACAGAAGAACCAAAACAAGTCAAATAGAACATTTCTGATCAATTTTACCACCTATACACCAACAACATTAAAAGAATCTATACTTAAGGGTGCTACATTCCCTTGGGAATTGATTCACTAGTGTCTTAACTGGAAGCCCCAAACGTCCTTGAGTTTCTTACAACTAGTGGATAGCTGAAAAGTTGGTTTATAGGAATCACCCAAGGTCACTTATGCACTGATTTTAGTGGCAAAGCTGCAATGAGAACCTGGAAGTTACTGGCTTTCATCCTAATGGTCACTTCACCAAACCAAGACACCACCTTTATGGGAAACAATGATAATAAAACACAGCAGTGCTCTCAAATTGCACCAAAACTGCACTTACACTGCTCTGAAAAGCTATAATTCAGTCTGAAAGTTAACAAAATTGCTGGGCCAACATGCTCTAAATATATAACGTCACAAAGAACATAGTTTTTCTTAGTAGAGTAATATTGCAAAAAGAGCAAGAGAAAGAATATGGAAAGAGAGCAGAAAACCCTGTTAAAATGTTAAAAAGGAAAGAATAGTAAGTAATGGAAACTATTTAGTCATTCTTCAAGCTCCTACTGAACTCAGATGTAATACTAGCAGCAAGACTTTGAACACTGAGAATGCTGAGACTCAGAACACTGAGATGAAAGTTCATGGAATCATAGAATAGTTGGGAATTGGAAGGGACCCTTTAAAGGCCATCTAGTCCAACACTTCAGCTATGGGGGGACAGTTGTCCAGACCTCACAAGGGTTGGAATCCCTTGGTATCCCTTCCCTTCCTTTTGGCATGGGTTAGCACAACATCATTGATAAGCAGAACCTCTAATAGACAACCTGTTCCTGTCTGGCGACCCTCACTGCTGGCTCTTGTCATCCTCCTGGCAAGACAGCTGCTCAGTGCTTCTCTGTGCCTCCCCATCCCTGACTGATATCATTCTCATTTCTTGTTGTCATCCTCTCCATTTTTCCCAGCGTCCTCCATCTTCTGGAATGTCAATCCACATCTTCCCACGTTACTCCAGGGACATTAATCCAAATTTGTTCTTTCTGTCAGCTATTCTCACCTCTCAGTAGTTCTGACTCTCAACACATCCTTTATGGTATATCACCTTCTTCTGTACTCTCTCTGTTCACTTAACCATTGACATCATGTATTCTCTTCCTTAATTTGTAAAGAAAAAGAATGGGAATGGTGGTCTGTATCCCCCTTATTTTGGTAACCATTCTGCCATTTTATTCTACCTCTCCCTTTTAAGCTCACAGACTGCAATCACTACCTGAAGTCAATGTTCTTGGCTTTCACCAGCTGTTTTCATTGAACCTTACTTTCAACATGATCTCTAATTACCTCATCCTAACTAATGCTGTGAATCAGTAGTCATTTGCAGTTCCTTCCTCAGCTTCAATGTGACTTCATTCTGCTCTTCTTGGCCTATCATCTTTTTCCCTTTATCAAGAGATTCCAATCTGCTCATGTTGACAGACTATCGCAGACAATTACCACTGACAATTACATTTTCTGGGAGCAGCCTTTGTACTTTCTCCCAAGCTGCTCTTCTCTTCTGAGGATCCACCCCCTTGTGATTTTTCAATTATTTTGAAACTTTACTTTTCAATCATCTTTCTTGCTCTCAAAAAAAAAAAAAAAAAAAAAAAAAAAAAAGAAAAAAAGAAAAAAAAAGAAAAAGAAAAAGAAAAAAAAGAGCAGGAATATGCTGGGATCACCTTGCTCATCATATTTACCAACACTGCCTCAAAACAAACTTAACAGCACTGCCTCATAATTTCTTCAAATCCCACTTGTCTATATCCTTCTTATGTTATCTTTTAATTATTTACTTTTAGACAGAGACTGCTTTTTCACAGAACCTAAGATACAGGGGTAATTTTCTATAAAGAGGCTATCAAACACCATGGTTATATAAATACAAATTACAACAGGACTTTAGATTTCAGTGCTGTAAGAGCATAGTATGAAGACCTTGATATAAAGAAAACAGAACTACCAAGCTTAAGAATGTGAACTAGGCCTTAAAAACTCATTTCTCAGACATGCTGGACATACGTGAGTGTAATATATACATCAATTGTGTGGCATACATCCATTGTCTTTAGAAATAGAGGTTTATACATAGAATCCTGTCTTCAGTGTCGGCTATAGACACTAATTTCAGTATGGTCAAGGATTTTCCATCTGAATCTCATCATACATATATTTTCAATATTTGCAAAAGAGAAGACAGGCAGAATATATATAACAATAACATTTTGTAGTTATAGTCAGTGACTAGAAATGATCTTTACAGCTTGGTTTCTAATTCTGTATGGGGTTTGAATGCTAAGTTTGACAATACCCAGGTTCCAAAGCAAATATTTAAAGGATCACATGCATGACTTAAGAAAACATTGCCTTTTTTGTGGTAGCTAGTTTTATATGGTCTCTTCTGAAATTTAAGTGAATAAATTATTCATCAGCCAGCACTTGTCCTTAGATGGCACAACTTAGATGTCAAAACCACCCAAAACATCCACATTTGCCAAACCTGTCTTGTATGAAATGGAATGAAGGTATTTACATAAGGAAAATGCCAAAGCTGAAAATTAACTCTTTCAGAGCTTTAGTATAATCAAATATTGCAACAATTATTATCATATCAAATAATTATTTAACTGATAAAAAAGGATCATAATATTCCCACTGAAAGTGTGTTTGCCAGTTAGACTGGTGGTCTTCCTGGTTTGGGGAGAAAAAATTGGCTTTTTGTGATACTGCCTTTCAGTTAATAGGCCAAGAAGAAAATTCAACATGAAGTTTTAATACAAAACATATGAATTTGAATTGCTTTCTCTGATACAAAAGGATGCAGTAAATCTCAGCTTTTGTGACAATGTATCTCTTGGAGAAAGGACATTTCTATCGAAGTGCCTCCACAAACAACGGTGTCTGTCTTTCTGGTGGTGTACAGGGGAAAGGGAGACTGAATGCTGACAGAAGGACACTGTGTGAGACCCTTGTACGCATGTATGCTAAGTATGCCAAGGAACAGGAGTGTCTGACAGATGTGGTAAAACTGTGAGGGGCTTCCATACCTGTCTGCACTCTTACAAAAAGTCCTCACTCCAAAGCTGGGCTGAAAAGGACTTGCTCAACATACACAATGCCTTTCCATGCATTTCTTTCCACCTTTTACAAACAAGAACTACTCACAGAAAACACTGGAAGAAAGGTTTCAAAAATGGGACTGTGACCAAATGATCCATCTGGAGCAGACCTCTAGGCTCATGAGCTTAGTGCATGTTACTACCATGCAAGGTGGTTGGTGGAGGAACCAGGCTATAATGTGCACTGCTTCCAGTCTGCCCCTATTTAAAATAGGCAGGCATAAGGACTCAGCTGCAGCATTACACCCCACCTACTGCAGATTCCTTACCACTACTTAGGAACTTAGAAGGAGGTTTACAAATTAGGCCAAAAACATTATTTACAACTATTAACATGGGAAGTTATTACTAAATGTCCCTCACCTTCCTTGCATCTGATTTTAAACTCCCTGTGATACTTCATGCCCTTCCAGGGCTTAAGCTACCTCTACTTGGCATCGACTATACTACATTATTTTGGAGAGTCTGAGAAATATATCTATGTGCCTATAGACTCCCTCTCAAAACCCATTGAAAGATTGCTTTTGCATATAGACTATGACAGAGATTACATTTACAGTCCTGCTGTGTCATGCTTGCACTGAGAACTAGTCTAGTAAAAAACATAAACACTGATATAAATTACCAAGATCTTGCAGTCTTCATTGAGATGAGTTTCCACAAAAGAGACGGAAAATTTTCCTAGAGTAGGGATTGTAGGAATCAAGCCAAACTTACAAGGATTAGGTTTTGAATGGCAAGATACTTTCTCTTTCTGTTTTTTTTTTTTTTGGGTTTTTTTTTTTTTTTTACTTTATGCCCATCTTGCTACAGCTATGACTATGTTAATCAAAATTCTATAGAACTGTACTCATTTGTGTGTGTGTTTACTTTTTATTTACATAATTATCTTACAAAAGGAGCATTGCTCCTTTGTGCTAGATGTCTTACGATGTAATTTAAAGCCACAGTTACCAAAATATCCTATTCCAGCAGTCCCATTACTCTTGATTCTATAGCCCAGTCATTACCATAAATTATTACACAGGACCTAAATATATATTTCCAGTCTCAGGATGTCCAAACAGTCCTGCAGTCAAAGAAATTAAATGCTCCCCCTATGATGTGCCCTAAGAATCTGCATTTAATGTTTTTGGCAGAAACAGGAAAAACATCCAAAACTTAAAAGGCCTTCACAAGAAAATCAGGAAACACAATTATAAAATGACTTAATTTAAAAAACAGGATTTGGGTGTTTGAAACACAGGAAATGCTTATGGAAATGAGCGAGAACAAACAGTGATACATATCAGCATAATCAGTGCAAATCTACAAATACATTTTACTATTAGATATGTATTTTAAAGAATATACAGATTTGATTAAGCATGACATCAAATGTTCATCTGGCTATGGGTGGGATGGAACAGAGCAACTGAGACGGCGTGCATTTTCAAAACAAACAAAAAACCAAACAAAACCCAAAGTCAAGAATGAAACAGGTCTTCTCAGTCACCTCTGAGGGGGCCAAGAGGGCATGAAATCCCAAGCAGCTTACAATAAGCACATATCTCTTGGCCTGTTTATTCTGGGACTTCTGTTTTGAGGAGATAAGCAACTATCACTTTTCTGTAGCTTATGAATATTGTCTAGGAATTTCTGACGTCTGCTAATTCTGAATTTCTCCCCTCAGTACTCAGAGTACGTGCAACCAAAGTCCTGCTTAAACTCAACATGGAGTGGGTTGCAGGCCTGTGGTGGGCCAGTTCCACAGAAGATGGTCTCACTATTGGACACCAAACAGCAGGACTTTAAATGGCTCCTAAACAGGGATGAATATGTTTTTGCATCCTTCCACCTCCCACCTAGAGTAGCCATTGAATATCTGTGCCACCCTTTTATACTACCTCAAGAACCTGATTCACCAAGATTATTATAGGGCAAAACTTCCTACTTTTAGCAATTTCTTTAATTTGCAAAAGGATGTGAGCATGCCTGAACTTGAGGGTTATAGAATGAAAATAAATTCACATCTTTAACTGGACTGCTCTTTAACAAAGGTGAAGTAGAATTCTAGGGAAGTAACACAGAATAGTTTTGGATAATCTCTGGAGACAGTAATATGCCTACCATTTGGAGAAGTTCTGTACCTAATGCAGAGTTTGAAGTTGATATCAGATAAATTCTGTTTTTTTATCTCTTGTGCTTATTACATACAAAGCATAGTACAAAACCTGTGATACAAAGAAGTCTCTCATTGGGCTGCAAAAGCCAACTCACTATCTAAAGATATTGTTCTTTAAGTACATAAATCAGTAAGTACAGAAAATTTAAATAATTATTTTGTTATCTACACTTTACAAAACATATAGATGACTGTAATTACTTCATTTCAAATATTTGAAGATGGTTGTTACTTATTTCCTTTCTACATAACTAAAAAAATCTAACTTATTTACTGTGACACTCCTTTGATCATCATACAGTTATATAATTACACAGTTCAGCTGAACAAAAACACCACCGAAACTGCTTACTATTTATAATGAGTAACTTTTAAAGTTCCTCTTCTTTTTCCACACTGGCTAGTTAAAGACTTTATCCATTTCAACAGATATCATCATACTTTTTTTAAAAGAAAAATATGAACTATTTTCAGCCTACTCACAGAAACTCATAGTGTATAATGTCAAACTCTTTGATTTGTTGCACATTCATTGCAAAATGTCATTTTGTCTTGTTTTTAATGGCCATGGCCAGAGTACACTTATGATTATGGCAGACTTAAGTCACTGATTTCTTTGCACTCAAAATCACTGAAGTATACAAAAGCAGAGAAGTTCTATTGAATTTTAATTTTGAAAAACAGTATCTCAGACTGAGCCTTCTCTTTTCTCTGAAAAGTCAATCAGATTAGTAGTGTGCACTCACAGAGCTCTCAATGAATATAAACTAGAAGGAAGTTGCCTATGTGCTATGCAGAATTGTACAGGCATCTCTCAGTTGTATGTGGGTGTGTAACCCAGGTTGCAGATTAGCAGTGCTATGCTAAAACAAAGCAGGAAAAAAAAGGAAAAACACCCACCATTCTTCTTTGGATTTCTGATCTCACTTTTACTTGAGTTTAACTTCATTCCTTGATAAATGCAATACATGTAGGAAGTTCTTATCTAATGTGGACATGCTTTGTATTACCTGTGTGTTACCTTTATGTGGGTTAGTCTATTCCATTGCTAGTTTCAATACTTAAGAACTGACTGTGCAGCTGTGCCACTATGGAAGAGCCCAGCAGCCTACAGGTTTTTTTAACATTTGCTAAAACCCCATTATTTGCCAAAATACCTCCCTAACTCACCTCAAAAATCATCAGAGTTCCCTTTAATATTATTTTTTAAACCCATGAGTGATAAAAAAACCCTGCTGCATTACTGGATTCCTAGTAATATAAATAAAATGTTGAGATGCTTGAAAGTCAAAGCAAAAGCAAAAAAAGTGAACAAACACAATTAAAAGCAGACAGACAGAGTGGACTCCTCTGCCCTCAAGCCTAGAGACTGACAAAAAGCCATTTTATAATAAGACTTTGTAGCTGTACCAAAAACCTTTACTTAATTTGCTAACTACATTTTATTAATTTAGAGGGTAATTAACACCGATTATGCTTTTAAAATACAATGTGCTCTTGGGCAATGCAACAAAAGCAATGGTTTCCTTTTGAAAAAATTGAGAGGGAAAGTTGTTTCCTGCTGCCCCCTCCCCATTCTCATTTTTGTTTGCATAATATAAACAGCATCTATTTCATGAGCAAAGCCAAAAGAGAGATACCCAGCATGCTGAGTGCCCTGAGATCCATGAACTCCAAAGGCAACTGGAAGGAACTGGCAGTCCCTCTCCATCCTCAGGAAGGGAACCCAGACACTGACAAACCCTGGGAAGCTGCTGCAGGAGTTTATCTGCTGGGAAGGAGGAATGGCTTAAGCACTTCACAAGAAATAGGAGAATTACAATACTCAGTGTATGAAACATTTGCTCTTGTAGAAGGATTCATGAAGAGGCTGCCAAAGGGCCAGTGGGGCAGCAGAGGGCAGGAAAGGAACAGGGGTAGACCGCCTTTTCTTCAGGGAATCTGTTTTTCGTTTTTTTTCTTTTCCCCTCTCTCATCAGAAAATTAAAACTATTGACTTAACATAACCCATGAAAATTAAAGATCAATGCAGATATAAATAGCATGATATTCTTTGCTATTCTGAAAAGAAAGAACTAATCCACCAGCTCTGTATTCTACCTTTGGCAACAGCTTAACTCCTGTACTAAAATGAAAGCAAAAGGCTCTTCATACTGTGACACAACAGTGTATGGAATTGGAATGAACCTTCTTGCTCCTTTGAATTTATACCTTAATACATTAGTTTTGATATGCTGACTAGGATCAAAATGACACTGATGGCAAAAAGTGCAAGCACTGCTTTAATTCATGTATACACTCAGTTCTTTGAGGAATCTCTCTAAACTACTTGACATCCTGTATCAGTGTGTTCCACCGAGTAATAGCATTGCACGAAATGTTACTTTATATGTTGGCTTTTAATTTCACTGAACAGCCCCTTGTCCTGTTAACACTGGAGAAAAATAAAACTAAATACTTCTCTCACAAGATTTCTTACTGGCACAATTCTTAAAAATCCACTTAATAAAAACTACCTGCCCTTTTTCAGGTAGCAATACAGTATTGTCATATAGCCAAAGGAATTATATCAAAAGAAAAACATTTATCAAAATATTTGCTTTCAGGTTTGTTTACTGTTTATTATTTTAATTTACATCAGTTGCTCCTTGAAAAACTTCCAGGGAAATAATTTAATTTTTTTTTCTTTCCCACTGCATAGTAAATACAGCCTTCTTAGTATTTCAGAAGTATAGTACTATAGAAATGCTAGGGCCTGCTTCTTCTGCAAGTGAAGTTAATGGGAAAACACCAACTACTTTATTAAGAGTTAGGTCAGGCCCCAGATTTGCAGCTTTTGAAATTTCATAGTTGAAAATTTTCTGGCTAATCCTCAGAACTGACTACTTCTACAACTATATACTATTTACAGATTTATTTATATGTACTTCTTTATTACAATATGTAATATCAATGTTCCTTGTAAAGGTTACTATTTTAAAGAAATTAGACTGAAGTTATTGCCAATCAACCTTTTAATAAACTTAAGTGGGATGACTTTCAGATTTTTTCTCAACGTATAATTCAGTTTTTATTCACTCCTTCTATCTTTGACAATTGCTTAACTACCTTAATTTCAAAGCCTTTTTCAGTGTAATAAAAATGTCCTTTTGGTAGAAGTTTATTGGTCCCATTTCAAATTATGTTCTGAAACATTTCTATACTGATGAGGACTCATTATTTTGGCAATTTTTCTGTTTCAACACAGTATATAAAGCCATGCCTCTCAACCAATCAACCTCAGTATAAAAGTGTGAGGTCAAACAGATTGCTCACCAAATCGAGTTGTCTGATCACATATAGACACAACTGTCTGAATTGTTGCATATGTCATATAATGTTATCATACAAATTTAAGCATTTGCATTATTGACTGCTGCTCGTGTATGCATATGTTAACTTGCTGGTCATAAAACTACAACAAAGGACAAGATATACCAATACTGAATTCAGACCTCTAGTCTTGTCTCTCCCAAAATTAAGAAAAATCTGTGTTCTTTATGACTGATCAACTCATGATTTTGTGCTTGAGCTATACACATTTTCCAAAATTAAACTGTGAAGTTAATGTCAAATACTGTGTTGTAACTTTAAATATAACTGACATATTAGAACAGATAGATGGGTAATTATGATAAACTACACAATAGTGCTACTGCAGATAATATCATTTATCAATCCTGTGGTCCCCATCATTCATGCATTTACAGTTTGGGAATACAGTGACTGCAAAGGATAATAATTCATAATGGCTACATTCTCAGTATTTCATGCTAGCTCACTAGACAAAATAAAAAAGGTTAATTGTATAACTGGAAAAATGTAAAATTTTATTCCAAGAAAATTAACAAGCTACACAGGTAAATTTTGGCAAATGCAACTTTATATTGAAATCCACACATCTGTATCTTAAAGAAGGAAAGACTCACAGACTCTAATGTATTTCTAAAATACTAAGAAATCATATTATATGCTTTCACAAGTTAAAACTTAAATAATTTAAAACAACCAATACACCAAAATGTGCAGAAAATATAAACAAGACTGTGCCTTCAGTAGAATAAATGCTTCACAAATTGTGCAAGATATCATACTAAGGCTGCGGTCTCCCCATGACAGCTGTCTTAAAATATAAACATACATCAACTGCCTGTGTTTCTCAGAACAAACTAGAAAGGGCGGCACACCTAGAAAAAATCATATAATCCCAGTGATGTGCATATTGATTTTGGGAACCATTGGAGTAAAAAGGAAAAAAGAGGACTAAGTGATCTTTCATGCACTCCCAAATGACTGACCAGAGTTATTGATTCAATTTTCCTTGCTTATTTGCTTCAATGCTAAACAAAATGGAAGATACTAGATAACCCTTTAAGGCAACATGTGTTTATTCTGTATAATTATAACTGTTCAATTATGACTGTATATTATCATTAACGTTGCCTAACAGACTGATATCTAGCTTTTTAAAAAATATAAATAAGAGTCTATTAAACTTTATACCAAATCAGCAAAAAACACAGAATACAGTTAAATGTTAATAATTTCACTGTTAAGGAAAATGGTAATTAGAAAGAGTAATATATTTGGAAAAAAAAAAATTAAAGTAAAAATCTGAACAAAAACGCTGCTTTGGAATGCTCCCCAAAACTTACTCACAAGGCAAACAGATTTGTAAGTGTGATAATCCGATAATGCATGGCACATCTTTAATCAGTTACAGTACTTGAGTCCCCAGTTTTCAGTCTTTGCAAAATAATAATTGTATGAAATGTTTTAAAGGTCTTGAGATGTCTAAAATTAGTTTTATCAACACATTAACCTCATATCAACTTAATTTATTAAGATGTCCAATGCTAATCTTTTTGATGTTCTTATTTTATGTAGTGATATACACAGCATTTAGCACTGATACTTAGCACCTGCTACTTTCATAATCTAGATTTCAACCACATAAAGGAATTCAGGGCAGTAGTTCAGTCCTTTGTTCTTAATTACAAACCTTCAGCAGTGGTCAGCAGGAACATGTTTAGGTTTAAAACAGGATTAGAGGTGAGCTATTGCAGAGACTGCAGAATGTTGCCCAAATCCTTACAGCTGCTGACGTCCCATTCTTGATTTTCTCCTCAAGACATGGCTACAGGCCACAATTGCTTAGCAGAGAATGGTAGTGTTTCACAAGGCTAAAGATTTACAGATGCTCCCTCATATAACACAGTAAGGTTCCCTTGGTAACCTGGATTTTCTGCAGTAAAGAAGGGTTGTGCTGAAACAGCGCCTCAGCTCCCTGTTGGAGAAAATGCAGACAAAAGGATTGATTCCAGCTTGGGCAAAACTCATCCAGACAGCGGCTGTTAGAAATCCCCCAGGTACTACAGGCCCTCTTGCAAAAACTCTCCAGTAGCAGGCTACCAAATAGGGACCCCACAAGGTCAGAAAGAGGAATGTCATGATGTAGAACATTCTGCTGATTCTCTTCTCCATTTTGAATTCATCTAAAACCAGTAGCCTCCTCCTGCCTGTGGTGTTCGCATTTTGCCTGATTCCCAACAAGGTTGGAGGTGTGGGACCCCTTCCGAATCCAGCCAGCCAATTCGCAGCTGCTTGACCACTCGCTCCAGGACCATGAAAAGTCCAGTTCTGGCTCACTGCTGCAACAAACTGGACTGGCTTCATTTTCCTGCGATCGTGAACAAAAAATATCAGCTTGAGGTAGACAAGCTGTGTGGCTAGGAGGATAAGGGCAAGAAGAAGCATAAATCCCAATGAATCATTAGCCCTGAAGGAACGATGCTGAAAAGTGCATTGGTCTTCCTCCCTAATGAATGAGTAGGTGCCCACATCTAAAACTGGGGGGAAAGCCATGGCTACAGAGAGAGTCCACACCATACAGATAACAGCCAAACAAGTCCAGAAGGTCAGTCTTTTCGTATAAAAACGGTGGTGGGCAATAGCTAAGTATCTCGTGACGCTTATGCAGAATAACATGAAAGCAGTGTGAAAGCAGGACAAAACCCCCAAAAAGGCAATCACTTTGCAAGTAAGAGTCCCATACGTCCACGTAGAGCCATTTTTAACCGAGGTGAAAACAAAAGGGAAACAAATTGCAGATCTGAGGATATCTGAGCAGCAAAGATCCAACAGGAAGTAGTAAGGAGCTCTATGCAAGGTCTTATCTTTGACTAGCAAAATGGAGATCAGAAGGTTACCCACCACACTGACTCCTATTATGAAACCCAGTGAAGTCAGTTTCAGAAAAGCTGTTAAAGGAGAGAGATTTTGCAAAATGTTGTCAGCTGCATGGCTGTAGTTCGCCATAGATGGATGGATGATATGTATATTGCCTCAGTCAAGTCTCATGATCTATATTTAAGAACAAGGAAAAAATAGATCCATACATCTTACTGAAAATGTAATCCACAAACAGAACTGATCTTGTGTCTAGTCATACAGTACATCCTCTTCTTTCTGATTTGTCATGCCATCAAAATATCTGAAAAAAAATCGAGCTATCAGTTCTTAAGTTAACACAAAATGATGTCAGAAAGTGCTAGCAAAGATGTTAATTTATGGAGAACCAAATGAAGTTGTAAATTTGAGTACTATTGTTTGTTTTTAAAAAACATGAGGCTTTTTTTTTTTTTTTTTTACTGACTATTTAGTATAATTGACTATTGGCAGATTTGGCTTGTTACAGTTGCACGACTGACCAGTGCCCCTTATATTTGGTAGCATATATAATTTCACAGTTAAAGCCTCAGAGATTTTATGAATCAAAAGATTCCCAGTTTGCAAGCCCAAGAGTTAATCATTGACATCTTTTTTAAAGAATCTCCAAAGACTGCTGATATTTTGACATTACCTACATTTATTTTATGGCTACAGTATTTGTCAATGTTTTAAGAGGCAACTGCTGTGTTGATATGGATCACACCCAAAGAAACCCTGCAGAATTTATGTTTTTTAACCCAAGTCACCAAAGCACATTAATCACACTGTGTTAGTTTATGCATTTTGTAAGAGAAACAGTATTCACTATCCCCCTCCCTTCCTGCTATAAACAATAATTTTATCATTTAGGCTTTTAGATAAACAGGTATCTAGACAGTCGATAGCAGTATGCTTTAGGGTGTCGTCCCCCCCGGCCTCCCCCCCGCTTCCCCCGTGCTTTAATGCAAATTGTTAAAGCCTCGACATAATTCATAATAAGAAACGGTCATTGTAAATACTGAGTAAAAATAGGCAGCACAGCCAAGATATAATGCCCACCCTTTCGGGAGGGCTAGTTTTGGTAATGCTCAAATAAACATATAAATTGTTGGGGTTTTTTTACTGCTTTGCTTTTTTATTTTTTTTTTTTTTCGCTAATTAGGGCTCCGTGATTCCCATTAATCCTCCCAGTGAATCGTACCGGAACACATTTCATGCAATAAAATAAAATAAAGAGCTGTCTATTGCTGCTTTTATTTTTTTTTTGTTTGTTTGTTTTGTTTTGTTTTTCTTTTTTCTCCCTCCAGAGCCAGGGACAGGAGCCACAGCAGGCACGATCAGGCTCCTTCGTTATTCACACGAAGTGTTTCCTATGCCACCTCGGGTATATAAAGGATATTCCCACTGAATCCCAGCAAAATCCTTCCATTCTTACCGTCCACAAAAGAGCCTGATTGCTGCTGTGTAAACAGAGGCTGATCAGATCATGGCATCGTTTTAAAACCATGAAATCAGGCTCCCCCTCCCCCCTCCCGCCAGCCCCGCCGCTCCCCCTCCTCGGTGGAGCTGTCCCCGCGGCGGCCGGCCCTGCCTCCGCACAGCCCGCACGCTCACACCGGCACCGCTGGCACACTCACACCGCCGCTGGCACCGCACTCACGGCACGGCCGCTCCCCCGCGCCCGGCCATGCAGGGCTGGACTGCGCCGCGCTGCAAGGCAGCCCGGGTGCCGCCGCCTGGCAGCAGCCGCATCTGCCGGAGCCGTGCGAGAGCCCCCCGCGGCGGGGAGCTGGGGAGAGCGGAAGAGCCATTGTCTGTGAAGGCTTCCATCATGCCACTTCTTTGGAAATAAGCCCCGCACCCCTGAGCGGGAGAGCCCTCTGAGCACGCACCTGCAGCGGCGGCAGCCCTCGGCGCCCCCAGCCCTTCTCCTCCTACCTGTTGGCGCCGGAGATCCCCACATGCCAGAGCTGCTCCTTCCCGCCGACCGGGGGCTCCTTTACTCTGGCGGTCTTTTCTATTCTCCTCTACCGTCATTCATTCTTCTTTCTCTCAATCTTTTCCTTTTTTTTTTTTTTAATTTCCTTTTTTTTTTTTTTTTTTTTTTTTTGCCTCGGTACCTTGGCTGAGGATCCAGTCAGTGGCTCGGGCGGCGCATGCTCGCCGCGCCTCCCCCCTGCGCGCCGAGCCCCGTCCTCCCCTGTCGCAGCGCCACAATCTCTCCCTGTAACGCAGCGGCGGCGGCCGCCTCAATCAGGGCACGGCAGGCTCGGCGGCAGCAGCTGCTGCTGTCTCAGAGAGGGCACGGCAACCTCCGCGGCGGCAGCAGCAGCGTCCTCAGTGGTGCGCAGGCAGCCCCGGCGGCAGCAGCAGCCTCCTCAGTGAGGGGAAGGCAGCATCCTCAGTGACGGGAAGGCAGCCCCCTTGGCAGCACGTTCCCATCGCGATGTATAGCCGAGCTGGATTTATTGGCGAGCCTGGGCAAGCCAGTGAGGAAAGGGAGGGGAAGGAATTAGGTCCTGCGCTACTTGTTTATGCCTCTGGGCTCCCCCTCCCGCCCCATTCGCTTACGACGGGGGTCTGGAAGCGCCCGCCGCGCTGCGCGTCGCAGCCTGTCAGGAGAGGGACCGGGCGGTTTCTTCAGCTGCCGCTGCTTGATCCTCCCGCTCGTGGCTCGTTTTCCTTCCTCCCGATTCCCACCCGGTGAATTCCTTCTTCTTGACCCTCGCGCCAGAGAGGGCTCCTTAACGAGTGCCGTTGTTGGCGGAGGGCGCATTCGCCGCGGGGCCGTGAGGACACCGCACCTTTCCCCGCGGCAGCCCGTGGAGCAGCTTCCCGACGCGCAGCCCGAAGCCGGCGCAGAGCTGTCAGCGCGCTCGCTGCATGGCGGCGGGGACGAATCTGGTGTCAGCCCGTTCCGTCCGCGGCAGGGCCCGCGTTCCCCCTGGGCGCGCAGGGCGGCAGCGGCGGCCGCCGCGGAGGAGCGCCGCCCGAGCCGGCGGCCGGCGGGGATCGATCCCGAGCCGGCCCGATGATGTCATGCGGGCCGGTGGGCCGGGGCGGCGGCGCCGGGAGGCGGCGGGCTGGAGCCTGGGCCGCCGCAGGGGCCTCCGCCGGCCCCCGCACCCGCTGGCACTGACGGACCCTCGCTGGTGCCACCGTGGCAAAACCGGGAGGAAGCGGAGAGGATTGGGATCCCTCCGCCCTCCCGCCTCTTCGGTTTGTGTGGAAGTTTATTCGGGAGAAATGGGAACGTGAAAGCTATGCCCCAAGAGTAATTCGCTTTGGCTGCAAGGCATTTGAGGAACAGCCTGGTTTGGGTCGAGAGATTTGGATCCCGAGGAACTTCTTCGCTGGGAGCTTCCATACAAGACAGAATAAATCCTTCTGTGGGACAGATTTATAGGGTTGATTCATAATGTGTGTCACATCTGTGAGACCGGTAGTAGACTACAGGCATTTTTTAAGGCTGTTGTCAGGTTTGGGTTCTTTTTTTTGACACTCACTAAAAGACATTGGAATTGGTTGCCAAACCACAAAATTAGCATCAGTAGCAGCCTGACCAAGCCTAGAGGTCTGCAGCCACTGGAAAATACACATATTTAAAACCAGCATCACACTATTTCAACCATGTGACTTGTTTCAGATAAAATTTATTCTTAGGCAGAAAACTGACACAAAACTCAGGTACCACATGATACTTTTCTGCAGACATAATTATGAGGACATGATGTACTCCTCTTTGGGGTGGCAGAGGTTAGCTTCACTTCTAAAAATTTAAAAGTGTTTATTAAAGTTACTACTTCAAGTTGCACTTCTCATGTCACAGTCACCTGAGCTAAACCCACTCCTTTCTTTGTTGTTAAATATATGTACTCACAGTGACATGAACAATGACCTTTGAAGTAATAGTTAAAATGTGAAGGGCAAGGAAGTAGCTTTAATTGTCTCTCTAATATAGCAAAGGGTTCTCCAAATGCCATGCATGGAAATGAAACATTTGCAATGCAAGATTAGGAAGATTTGTAATACATGGTACTGTATGACTATAGTATGGTCATGGTCAGGGCCTATTACACTCTGGTATGTATAAGAATGATGATTTTTTTTCCTTAGGAGTAAACAATGCAACACAATCATCATTGTCATAAAATAGATCCAGTACCGCAGATTTTAACTTTTTTCTGTCTGGGCTTTCTTTTATAGGTGTTACAAAATTATATTGCTATATAACATTTTAAAACTTGCTGTCCTTTTAGACCTGTAGTTAACTGCTTAGAAGTAATCTGTGAACTTCAGAATTCATTCAGTGTTCAACCACCAGTTCAGCATAAATCCATTTGTGATCACAGGTGTAACCTGAGAACAAGTGTTTTAATTTTGTTCAACAAAATGTAGACATCTAGATTGAAGAGCCACATAACAAAGTTAGTTTCCTATCGTAGAAATCACTGAGAAAGAGGTGCTTTTGGGAGCAGATTATATCATTCTGAGTCACAAATTTAAAGTCCATCATATGGCTTGAACTCCATTCTGTTTGTTGTAAGGGTAGAGTCAGTCAAGATAAACCTTTGTTGCAAAGTAAGAGTAGAGTGAGGTGATGCAGTTGCATGCATAGAAAGTCACATCCCCCATGTAGGGGAAAAAAATCCAAGAGTCATGGTGCTGAGAATCTGGAAGGTGAAGGCAAATGTGGCTCCAGAAAGCAAGAACAATTGGAAGACAGGGAGAAGAGACATGTAAGGACAGGTGATGAGGCCTGTGCTAACTAGCTCTTCAAAACAGCTGGACTAAAGATATGAAAGGTTCAGAAAAGAAAGTGTAAGGAAACTCAAGATACATGGTGAGTGGATTAGGGTTAGCCAAGTAGGATTTCTTGGGGTTTTGGCACAAGGAAGATCCTAAATCTTGAATAAATTGTCCGCCACACAATATAAGGGGGGGTAACACTAAGGGCAACACAAAGGAGACTTCAAAACACAGAGAGCCTGTGGTCCCAAACAAGCATATCAGAAGAAATGATTACTCTTAGGGGAATAAATATCTTTCCTTGACATTTTTTCTTTTCATATGTATGTACTGCTGTGCCCCATGAAGGAAGGGTAGAAGAGAGTGTAAGAAAAGTACAGGCACAAGAGGATTCATGTACCTTATTAGAGTTAGCAGCAGACTGACTAGAGCTTTCACTAGAAAATGAAAGAGGCAAGACAATTTCACTGATTTTCTGATTCAGATCAAAGATGAGAACCATCTCAGTAGCCTGTTAGGAGCTACTGAGGTTGGACAGGTTTGGACAACTCTACTATAAAGTTCTTGAGAGTTATGGCACAGAGCTCTTTCATTGTCTCTTGTTTGAGTTATTTAAGTATAATGGCCAAGAAAATAACTGGTGAAATACTCAGCTTTGTTGGTAGTGACTGAAGATTCTGCATTCCAAGTCTTAAGGGTTTTTTTTCCAAATTAGGTACTATTCAAGAATGACCAAGGAACAGTGTTTAGTGAATTGGATACACTAAGTCCATTCCCAGATCAAGGTCATCTCTTTGGAGAATCCTACTATGATATTCTCAGTTTTTGATAAAATCTGCAGGTCTGGGCAGTTCTCTCCTGTGAGATGATGCCTGGGTGCTCATGGCCAAGGAGCCAGGAACTTAAGTGCAGAGATGGGGCATAATTAAATACTATTGCAGAGGGATTTGTTGGTGTGTAAGCAGCACTTGGGGTAGTTGCCATCTATTTCTTTTGAGGATATGTGCCCTGAAATTCACAGTTGTGAACCAGGTGAGGATGCTGGATGATTACCCTTGTTTTAAACTTTTTCCTCAGAATGGGAGAGGGTTTTAAGAAGTCTGACACTGAGAAATGGAGTCTGAGGTAGAGATTGTGTTAGAAGAAAGGCTAATGATTATAGTTGAAAAGATGGGCTGAGATAGTGTCCTCACTAAGGTCAGTAATGTCTCTCAATTATTTCAGTGGAATGAGGATTTCAGCATGGGGCCAGAAGCTGTCAATAGCTAAAATATAAAGTACTCAAGTCCCTTTTGTCTTGAACATTTCAGTCATTAATGTATTCAACTGTCTTGAAATTTGTATATATGCAATGTCAACCTATTCTGCATATGTAAATTTAAGCACTATAGGATTTTCCAATATTCCTACAACACAGGAGAGAATCTACAAGGTGTGCCCACCCCTGTGCAGAAGCCAGCACAAGATTTATGTTTTGCTTGGGAAACTGTGATAGAGTGCATCCTTTTCAAAAGGCTCAAGGAATTTTTTCAAGGGAACTTTCTTGCCCGTGCAGTAGATTTGTGCAACTCTGGAGCAGTATTTAAGTAGGACTCATATAATACAGAGACCTGTGTAGGACCCCTGCACAATAGAGAATGTCACCTGCAATATATTTGGTTCTTATCCTTAGTAAAGTGTTTTCAGAGTAAAGACATTTTTGGCAGTGTCTGGCTCCTGGGTTGGCTCTTAACACAAACATAAATTTCACCCCACACTGCAAATCTCTTTAGTAGTCTTTGCCTCAGTGATGCATGTTTTCACCTAAAACAAAATTGCATTCATGTGACTATAAAATTCTTATGGATAATACTTATATTTTTTAATGTTAATATTTAGCCAGACCCTCTGATGTTTTATAAATATTTCTCAAAAACATTTAATTCAGTATTTGAAAAAATATTTCATACTTGGCTTTGAAAATTAATTTCGGTTCTTAAAAGTAGATCTATGCTGCACTTTTACATAGGAATAAATGAATGTTTAAATACAAATACATTTATCTGCCAAATATCTGAAAAATACTTTGCCCTTCAGAGGAAAACTTCTCTGTGTGACTCTAATGGGAATGAGGCACCTATATGCTTCTTAAAAATGCTTTAGATACTTACCTGTATCCTTAGGCTTCTAAATACCTTTTACCAGTTTGTTCACTAGGACTGCATTTGAAGGACTGTACACATCTTTTGCATATAGGTTTTGTAGATAAACTGCTACATCAGTGTTGCAGTGTTAAATTCAGTTATTGTGCAATTTAGGTAGCGTGGACGTGGAATTACTTGCATATCAGGTAGCTAAAAATGCAAATGAACTTAACGGTGGCCATGGGTAATTAACAATGTTAAATTGCACTGCTAATTACTTGTGACTGCAGAAAGATAAGGTACATTTTTAAAATGCTGGACTTCAGAAATGATGGTTTTAGATGGTTAGAGGGAAAAAAAGAGAGTGAGTCAAAGAAAGGTTCATATGTTGTCTCTGTTTTTTGTGTACCATATATACATTGTACTGTGATGAAGAATTACTGAAATATTTGTTTTCATGGCCACGGATAAGTAATAACAAGTGACTTAAAAAAGATAAAGCAGTTACATCCACAGTGATGCAGAAAGATGACAGAGCTCCACAGAAGAAAAAAAAAAAGGAACTTTATACTATCTGAAGAAGTAGTTTCAAGATGATACATTTGTTGAGATAGTATTTTTGAATGGTTGAGAATACTCAAGAGTATTTTTCTCATACTTTCATCTTGGATCTCTTAATGCAAATATATAAATAATGTAATATTCAAAATGTAATCTTTATGCAATTTGTTTAGTTCAAGTTTTGGGTTGTTTGGTTAGATTTTTTTCATAGTGGAAGGTAGGCACTATCTTATGTGTCTGAATAACAAGTCTTTTAATGTGAATTATTCTGAACCTGCAGTTTTGCTAGTGGGGAGCATTGAAATTCTTATTCCGTCAACAGTTTTTAGTTAATATAGGCAGCACTGTAAAGATGCCTCAGTAGCAGTGCCTCCAGCAGGATGCTCAGCTGCAGACCTTGGGAAGACTGTTTTTACCTGCATGCCTAGGTCAGAGAAAGAATGTCTTGCCGGAACATCAAGAGAATGCCAACCAAACTTAGTAAAGCTTCTGCTATATCCAGTCTCTCCACTCTCTTTCTATGCCAGAAAACCTGTTGGTGTTTTGGTAATTGAATCTGGAATAGGATGGAGAATACTGTCTTCTTTCTCTATTAAAAAAAAACAACAAAACAACAAAAAACCACTCCTTACATATCTTGTAGATGGGATTTGTTGAAGCATATGCATAAACACAAGGGATGGTCTTACAGAAATAATGATTCATTTGTTTAATGTATTTTCATCTGCTGTTTAATTAACCCAATTAATTGTAGATCTTTTAGTAAAATCTACAATAAAATATGTCTTTCAACCACTGTAAATACAT